TTAAAATTTTTTTAAAAAATTTTTTTTAATCTTGGTTATATTTGAAAAAGGGTTATCTTTATTCTAATTGTTTAAAAAAACGCCAAATTAACCATTACACAAATTAGGAGTTAGGGTTATTTTACTTTTATACGGCTTCAAAAAGTCATTAAATAAATTGATATGAGTTGAATATATTGAATATATATTTTATACAAGGTTAAATAATTTGGACATAATCTGCTTTTACAAAATAAAACAAATTTATTATAATACGACAACCCTTGATTACTTACTTCACACTTCTTTCTTTACGAATAGATAAAAGTAAGCAAAAAAATCATAATGAAATTGTCAATTCAGACAACTAGACCTTGGATTTGTATAAGGGTAAAATTGGGCACACATTACTGGAGGTAAAATCACGATACACCCGTTGTTACTTCCATATTTTTTTATAATCTAAATATTGAAATCGATTATGTTCACAATCAGACAATGTCTATTTATAGCAAAACATACATTTTATCTACATATTGTAACTATGTGGTACTTTGTAAGCATTCATTATGTCCAATTTTCTTTCTTTTATTGCAGCATTTAAGTGTGGCGACAAAATAAAAAACGGTTATTTAGACAAAAGCTGTTCAATGATGGTAGGCAGTACTTGCAACTATTATTGCGATAAATTTTATGACCCTGCTGATAAAAAGGGGCAGGCGAAATGCGAATCTTCAGGATGGACTCCCACTGAGCTTTGCAAAGGTATACATTACATGAAAACGTGATATCTTAAAGTTATTTACGTTGCTTTCTGTTTTCTAAATATGGTCTCAGAACATTGGGAGGCCTATTGTTATCTTGTCTTGCCTCATCGAGGGAATGTCGAGGGAATGTACTGCAGAAATGTGCGGTATTGTTTCATGTTTGTCTCTTTCAAAACATAACACTTATTTAAAATAACAGCCTGCTTTAAAATGAATAATGCAGAATTACATTTCTTGCAAAAAACAAGTCGTAAAATTTCCTCATGGTAAATGCTTTATACCATAACCGATTATTTTGAAGGTTGAATACATTCAGCCAATCTGAGACAAATCTACTTAGTATTTCTACATAAATTATGTTCATTTAAGAAACACTGTTATAATGTGCAATTTACAATATTTACTATATATTTATATTCCATGTTTAATTTCAGTCTAGAAATCAAAAATAAAATTGTCAAATTTGATGTTAACTAGCTTGATTGATTTATGAAAATTTTATGTCCAAAGCATTATTTATAAATTTGTTGATGATAAACAATCGATCTTATTACAGAATCAATCTGCGAAGATACCTCTTTGACAAACGGGAAAGTTATTGGAAGCTGCTCAAAGAAGATTGGGATAGATTGTGCAGTTGAATGTAACCAAGGCTATGTAAATATGACAGACAAAGCATTCTGTAGAAATGACAAGAAGTGGTATCCCCTCAATGCTTGCACGGGTATTTTTAATTGTTTCTTTTTTACATTAAAATTGTCATTTCCTTTCAAACTCTTAATTACTATAGATATTTTGCTACTTTATCGTTATTGTTGTTTACATCAAAATTATATCACTTTTGAAATCACATACTGTTATTTAAAGCAATTACATACTGAATGAGAGCCTAACTTCGTGTGTGTATTCTATGTTAAAGCTTAAGATAACAAACTGATTGACTGTATAATATCTTGTTTTATTGTTTAAATCTGTATAAATATTGACAAATTACCAGTCATAATCAAATTTCAGAATACACGTGTAGTGTAACCATTGCAAATGGAGCGTTAGATCAAAGCTGTTCTAGAGCTGTAGGAAGCACATGCAGTTACAAGTGTGACAAACATTATAATGCTACCAGCACGCAGGCCACATGCACTGCTGATGGATGGAGCACAGCGTCCGGCAATCTTTGTCAAGGTCAACATTTTATTAACATTTTCAATTAATGTAAAATTCTAAATCTAACAATTTATTTATTTACTTCTCATATGCTTTCATATGACCTCATGTTATAGATTACAAACATATTGAAGATGTAACGAACAACTTTGATTAATTTATTATTTGAAAACAATTTCGTATCCATTTTTGTATGTTTAATGGTTTTGTGTCATGTTTTTTTATAAAGACATTTTGTCTAAAGTAGTCTTTGTTTCGAAAACCTTTAGACTATAAAAAGAATCTTGCAATGCATCCAAGTATAACAGTCATATTCATTTGGTGATCTGTTTTGTAATATCGAACAAAGCCTCAATTCCAATTCTCCAACTTGCATATAAAATGACAGTGTCAATAATTATTTGATATGTGATTATACAAACCTTTCTAACCACAGCTGTTTCTTGTCCCTCATCTGTACCTAATGGAAGAATATCAGCAACATGTGACTTGACGGTAGGGTCGACTTGCAATTACAAATGCAACTCTGGGTACGAGGCCACAGAGATTCATCCAAATGTAACGTGTAAACGCACTGGAAAGTGGGTTACTGACAACCTTTGTTTAGGTATTTTGAATTTATAGTCTTCCTGTGAATTGTACACTTTGATTTTTATGAGTTTTTGAGACTTAAATAGGGAAACGTAATGTCATGATCTACTTTTACTTTAACGTTTATTTTTGTCGCTTATTTCGTTTTATATAAGAAAAAAATGAGTAAACATGAATGTGTGTCTATCATTTATCTGTGAATGAAAAATTAAACATTGTGTTGACAAATTAATAATTTAATTAATGTTCACAAAAGAGCCCTTCAAATGCTATTTTATAAATCCACATTCATCTTCTTATTGATTTTGTTTTGCCATATGCAAAATCAGTAATAATAAAGAACTTTCAGGCTAAAGTTTGTGTTGTTACTTCACTGAATTCATCAATTGCAAAGGTAAACAACTTTGTTAAATTATAATAATTATAATGATATTTTTATTGATGAAATTATCAAAAAACTTTGCAGTTTTGAACTTTATCATTTCAGTGCCATCAAAGTCAAAATCTGCGGGGTTGTCAGTACCTGGTGCTACAGCAGGATTGTCTGTACTAGGGATTCTTGTCCTTGTTCTAATTGTTCTTGTCGTTTGTTTAGTTTGGAGGTAAGAATTGGGATGCCCTATTTTACATTTTGTGGTCCAATCAAACTATTGTCCGAAATAAATGTTCGATAGAACTAGGACATTGTACAGCGCAAGCCAGCGCTTAATGATAGGAGGGTTAAAGGCTCGATTGACGTTTCATCATCGAATTTATTGTATGCTTGAAAATCAAATATTAAAAGATAGACCTTCAGATTTTTAACTAGTAAAGTAAAGATCCATTTCATCAATAAATGACGTTCAAACATAATGGAAACGATAAGCGAAAGCTGAGTTTGTTCATGTTATTTTGATGGAACTTTATTGTCATTGAATTCAATTTGTTTCAATAATAACACATTGTTACAATAACTACACTGCTCGTACAACTATAGTTACCAGTGCACCAGTTCGTTCAGCAAACACCTTATCTCTCCTTATTTGGAGGCGACTCAAGTGTTAATTGCCAAACATAAGCGACGACAAGTGTTGACTGAGTTATCATACTAGACATGCTAGAATCAAACAGACTGATTCCACAAATATTTATGATGGTAATCGATGAGAAGTTTACCTTGGCAAAACAATTGCAGGCCTCTTGTCCAGAATTTATGAGTTTTACCGTTGACAGTGTTATCATACTAAAAATCAGACAGACCGATACATAATCATATCTCAACAGATTAATAGTAATAGTAATAAATCATGACAACAAATGAGGTCTCAATTTTCGCACAAAATCAGCCAATAAATCAAAGCTTAACAAGGTGCATTGCTAATACTACAACAAAATAAATGCCGTTATAGCCGGTGGTAAGGGACTTTGGTCATTTGATTTAACTGTCATATTAATCTTGTTTCATGAAACATGCATTTGTTCTAACTCCTGTGAAAACTTATTCGTAGTGGTATTTTCATTTTTATTAAAAGAACTGATTTCAAGCGTTGAATTTTGTTTTCAACATTATAATGAATTTTATACAAACAACAGTTACTTTAAAGCATACATGATCACGTTAAACTAAAGTAGGTACTTCAAATGTATCACAATTTTACAATATTTGCTTTGGCTATACAAAGTAAACATTTCCTAAACAAACCTTACAAATGATCGCAATTTTATTATTTTAAATTGATGTTAAAGGTGTATTCTTTCAATCTTTAAGGAAGAAGAGAAGTGCGTCAAAATATAGCAATTTCGATGATACAAGTAGTGTTGCAATAGAAAATCCCGGGTACCGGCAGAGACGCAGTTTTCCTGATCCCGATATGGATGACCCTCAATACGTAACTTCGGATGTTGCCCAGATGAAGCCAGTCACGACAACGTCGTAAATATATTTTAATTTTGTTGTCTGTATTTAAATGTGTCCGCCTTCTTAAACCAATTTGTTTTGTTTTTTTGAAATTGTGTTGTAATTTTTAGAACATGCATTTGTATTTAGTAAAAAGAACAACAAAACAAATAGGCCTATAGTAGCAAGACTAATAATAATAAAGACAGTTGGCGTAGCCAAAGGACCGTTAACAACCGTTTGAGTAAATATACATTATTAAATGCAATATTTCTAAAATTGTATCTGATAATTAAATGTAGGTTCTAAACATAAGTTGTTGACTAGAGAACTTTTACAAACCCTATAACAAGTAGAGAAACTGATAGCGAACAGTATGGATCCTGATCAGACTGCGCGGATGCACAGGCTGGTCTGGATCCATGCTGGTCGCAAACGCATAACGTTGGTTTTGTCGTGACCCGGCTCATTTATCTTTTTGTAGATTCGCTTCCCCGGCTGTATTAGATGATGGTAATCTATGAGAGAAGTGCTGTTGGCAGAAAATGCGTTGTTGCCTATGAAAGGAATCTATGGACTTAATCTATTACATTTGGCAACATATGTCACTGATTTACTTCTTGCATAATAATGTGTCCGATTTTGTAAATCTCATACTTTTATAACAATACATTGTATTATCATTTACATAAGTTATACGTATTATTTCATTTTAAAGAATCAAATTTAATAGGGTAGCAAAAATACCCAGGCTGTTCTAGATGCAGTAGCTAAACTGTGCTCTGTTGTATTCAAAGTGAGTTACTGCCGTGGTCCAGAATACTACGACCAGATGAAAGTGATTATTTCTTCACTTTAGTATTTAGATTTCTGAATGCAACACAAAGGGCCATCAGGCTGAACCTTGTATTAATAACCATTCAATAAAGGATTTAATCATTAAAACAAATATGTGTTAACCATTTGAAATAAGTACCTATCTGATTCAAGTGTCAAATTGTGTAGAATTGTCAATGGTCAAATCTACATAATCTGTAGAAATATCTTTTTTGCTGTGTTGCTTCCATTTGACAGTTATTCGCAATTTTAGAATCTCGTGTTTATACCCTTTCGCCATCGCTTTATGCTTCAGAATCTCGTTTTGTCTGTTTTAAAGACATATCTAACTGAATAGTACACATTTATAATGTCAAGTCTTTGAGAGGATATTAGTGGTCAGTTTTAATGTTTGTATGCAAGTTATTATATTTAGCTGTTACATTAAGATATTTTAATATGAATAAGGCAAAGCCTCAACCTAGCTGTCTGACAGAATTTATTATACATGTACATAATTATATGTAACACTACAGAATTTATTATTCATAACTATATGTAAGTATATATCATGTCTTTATTAAACCCATCAGCTGCATTTTTTTTCAAGAAGTCTGCACATTTTCGGCCGACTAATTCACTCATCACTTCTACACTCTATTTTCTTTTCGTTTAAATACACGGCTATTTCATATTTCTTATGATATCTAATTGAACCCACCCGTCGTGGAACATAAATTCGCTTAAGATTAAGTTTAGGGATTGATAATTTCATTTCGAAAAAAGGATATCGTGAACGGGAGCCTACCGGAAGTTGATATTCACTCGGCGTCTATCTCAATTTATTCTATCTCTTTTATTAAATTGCGTAAAAATGTAATTATTTTGCCTGTACTTTTAAAAATGCAATTATTTTGCCTGTTCTTTATCATAAATTGTTCCATATACTTGAATCAGTCAAATTTTTTACGTTTTTACAATAGTTTTTTTATAAAACGATCCCATTTCTGGAAATTTTAATTAAAATTATGAATGTGAAAGGGAACATAGAATCTATGTGCTCAAAGCTATTGTACAAGTTGAAGTTGTTGTAGTTAGTAATGTTTTTTACTTGTGCTGCGCACCAAAGATGTGACATGTTTGATTTAGAGACATTGCTTGTAGATATAGACATATACATGTAGATACCGACATTAGCTATGTCATTGCACTGATTGATGCTAAGATTGTTCGTATATTTTGTATCACATGTTCATTGTTTTATTGATGTTGATAACGTATATATTGGTTTATTATATTTAATTTTATTTTTTAAAGATTTCACTACTTATTCGTATGCTTCTTGTAATCAGAAATCCATTTATTTTACATATAGTTTATTTGTATTTTTACTTTTATAATATATTTACACTTATATGTATATTTGTATTTTTCTGAAATGTCGTGACTCAGTCACATAATTTCTGAAAAAAGTGAGCAGATCTTTAAAGTTTGACTTTGAACAGATATTTTGTTGTAATACAATGCATGTTTTAAATAAAAGAGAAGATATACAAATAATTGATTGCTTTGATTTTTTATGATTGTCTTTAAGCTGAATAGAAACGATTTCGAATGAATGTAAATCCTGGATTCGTTTACATTTGTAACTATATTACAGTCAGAAACAAATGGCTGAAAATTTGGCAGATTATCATAGATGCTATATTTACAAAAAAATTACAAAATATGTATTGGCTTAATATCGCACAGTGCGGACTATAAATAAATGGCACAGATGTACCGGGTTATTCCCGATGAGTATATACTGATGCCACCAGCAAGCAAAGGGTTAACTATCGGGCGAATGAAATCGAATAATTATGTTGAAACTAGTATCAAAAAAATATTTATTTTAAAGTCAAACTGCATGTCACAGTAAGGGTCTTACTTGCGCAGTTCTGTAGTTTGCCCTTTCAACAATTTGTCATTTACTTCACTTGCAACCTTTTTTTTGTTGAATGATCGATGTGAAAGTTATTGAATGATTTATTGTATAAAATAGTATAATCTTTAAGAAGTACTCCCAACACTAAAGACGTTTACACATACCACATCTAAATACATGCGACATGACATGTTAAACTTTTTGCGATGGTGATCTCTTCTCTAAGCTTTCGGGCGGCAACCTAATCTATAGGCGTGACCAGTGCAGACAAAGATAACTGTTTGCGCTGTTCACTTTTCAGTCAATAATTGTTCTAAATTCTAAATATTTTCCTTTACTGATGAATGGTTTCGTCACGGACAAGTACGTCAAAGATAATTAGGGTGGGAAGGGTTAATTGGCATTCCATTGAAATTTAAAGTTCGTTGTCGACTTCTTATATCGGATTGCATAATAATTGTACTTGACTAGTCGTTACTTTTTAAAGTTTAATGTCCTAACTCTAGTTGGTGTACCTCAAAATATACGAATCCTGAACGACTCATCAATGTTTACATCAAAAACGTGTGCCGTGTATCAAATTTGACACAGGTTTGTTTCCTTCAAACATGTCGCTTCACTTTTGTCGCTTCACTTTTATATAATTATGATACACTTATTCGAGTATTCTAATAGGTCTGAAAACTATATATTATTTAAAATATAGTGATTATCATCTTTAACACTGCGCACATGATACATTACAACTGTTACATATTTGTAGCCTGTAATTATTTGTGCTCGAGTTAGTAATGAAGTGGAAATTGATATACCCTAGTGCTTTATGTAATGTTCTTAAACGTAACAATAGCTTTTAATTAGCTATCTAAAGGGCGTTGGCGATGACATGTAGTTGTATTTATTTCATTTGTGATAACATTAACATGGTATTGGATGTCTGTTTTACATTATACAAGAACACGTTTTGCCTCTTTTATGAAAGAATTTATTAAGATCATGTCGGTATTTTCTAACCAATTGCCCCTCACCGTTGTGGGTTCAAATCTCGACCGTGACTTTGGATCTGTAATATCCATCATAGTTTCAAAAAAAGTTACTTACTTGCCACCATTTACCTGAACCATATTTTGCTTCTATTGCCTTTTGTTGGCAATTAGTACAGTTATAGTGATTAAGTATTTTGTATGGAAATCAAAATACTTCTTTGTTTACATTTTGTCACTTTTATAACAAATAATTTCTCATTCAACTGTACTTTCTTTCGGTAATAAGCATCTAATAAGCTGTTAAAGCATTATTACAACATTATGAAACCCATGTTAACCCTTTCTAAACAAGGAAAAAATATTTATTTCTGAGGCATAATGTGCCTTTAACATATAGTTGATAGCGTTGTTTTTCTTTATCTTTTATAAACACATAACAGTCAAAGTCACAAAACCCATATAATTTAACAAAGATAAACACTTTCAGATGGTATTTATTTACAAACGGATTCTTTTCAGTGAAGTGTTTAAATGCGTATCTAATATATGAAACATTTTTGTCATTTTCATCTGAACAAATTTAGACTGAACAAATTTAGATGTTACCTAAATTTTTCTACACTCATTTATCGTTATATAATTTAAGTACAAATGAATTATATTTCCTTATTATACCATTTTAAAATGAAACCCGCAGACAGTTACCAATCAGAATTAAAATTCCCGTTTCTGTTAATTTTGCAAAGAAAGCCGACATGACGTGTTTGAAGTTTAAATTAATATTGAAAAAAAAATCCATTTTTCATCATGATTTATTTGAGTATGTGAAAATAGCGAAATGTGATATTTGCTGTTGATATACTGAATTGAACAGTTCACGCGTTTAGCTTATTACATTTATATCACTTTGTATTTAAATAAAGAATCTTTACATATCCTATATTAATTTGCTTTTTAAAATCTGTACTGTAAAGAAAAATCATACAACAAAGAAAAAAAAGAAGAAAAGATCTGGTAACGCCGAGATTTTTTCTTATTAATAAAGCTTTAAAGACTTTAAAGTAACTTTGTACTTAAATCATAAAATTGACGATGCGTTACCGTTCTATATAAGTCGTACGTTTGTAAAATATACCCAGATTTTACCAATTTTACTACGTTGTGACATAAATATATACCCGTTGAGAAAAGTCTTTTTTTAAGTTTTAAACTTAATACATTTTAAGTTTATGAGTTGGCTTTTTACGTGATAGGACGCCATGGAAAGAGTTCTATTTCTATTAATATGGATATGTGTGTTCAGAGAATATTCATGCCAAGGTGATAACAGTAACGTCAAATTACCAAAAGGTAAGGTTTAAAGTATTATGAAAATTAATAGGTCATGCAAAACATGTTGTTATTATTTTACTAAATTGATAATATAAATATACAGGTATATCTTAATACTCAATTTTATGGTTAATCATAGGAAAAAGGGATATCGCAATCAAAACGCTTTATTTTATTGTCTTGATCGTAAAAATTGAAAAAAGGTGTGCCAGAAAGGTAGATGAATCTTAATCATATGAATATTATTTCTTGTAAAATATATGGAAATGGACCATTTACACGACTATGTATGGAAATGGACCATTTATACGACTATGTATGGAAATGGGCCATTTATACGACCATGTATGGAAATCGACCATTTATACGACTATGTATGGAAATCGACCATTTATACGACTATGTATGGAAATCGACCATTTATACGACTATGTATGGAAATCGACCATTTATACGACTATGTATGGAAATCGACCATTTATACGACTATGTATGGAAATCGACCATTTATACGACTATGTATGGAAATCGACCATTTATACGACTATGTATGGAAATCGACCATTTATACGACTATGTATGGAAATCGACCATTTATACGACTATGTATGGAAATCGACCATTTATACGATTATATATGGAAATCGACCATTTATACGATTATGTATGGAAATCGACAATTCAAACGACTATGTATATTGTACATGCACTTGTATTAAGTTTTGATTTTCAGTGACTTTTCATTTTCAATATCTTTTATTGTCTTAATACTGATACTATAGTAGACATTTTTAATTCTACACAAATGATAACTGATTATGTATGTTTATATATTTCCATGTTCTTCTCAAACATTGTAACCGCCGCCATCATGTTAAAGGCAAAAAACATGTACTTGTTCAAATGAGGACTTAATAAGTTGAATTGGCATGAATTGAATTGAATTGATAGGCTGAATATTGAAAAAGCTTTGCAGTGCTATCTTTGTTTGTCTTCATTTTAAAGCACAACAAAACATAAACATGTCAATTATTTAACCTCTGTATTTAAATAGAAGTTTTCATTAATTATGTGACCGTAAAATTCTCTGCAACTACTAGTAAATTGCTTCCAAAAATATTGCAAATAAAAGTCAAAAGTAACCCTTTCCCATATTTGAAGAAATATATCAATGGTTGACTTACCATTATTTTATTTATACATTAATTAATTTTTTTTTCTTAATTGAAAAAAACAAACAAACAACAAAAAAAACACAAGGGTATGTTGGTCCTGTTGAAATACTGCAACGAAAATGTCCCCGACATTTGATCTATTGATATATGAATTATAACAGAAGTGTCTAAATCTGCATGAATTGTAACAGAAATGTCTAAATCTGCATGAATTGTAACAGAAATGTCTAAATCTGCTTCTATGTTACTACTTTTTATTGAAATATTTATTTTCTTAATAATCTGTCTCTTAAGAAGATCGTCATAGAAGTATGGGAATTAAATCTATGAGTCTCGGAATTTAAAAAAAGGCTGTAAGCATTTGCTTGCTAACATAACTTTTTTTTCTACTGGTTGCTTAGCATTTTTTAAATAGACATTTTCTGTATACATGTATGTAAGTATCTCTCACGTCATACTATCCGGAACATAAGTATTGTTTTCTTTATTTAAAGATGGAATGTAATGAGCGTCTTATGCTGAAATAAAATAAAAATATGTTATATTCTCTTCTCTAATTCGATTCTAACTCGATGTTTATAGCTCAAAACTTTTATTATGTGTTAAACAAACACATTCATGGAAATTAAATACTATTAAGAAGTATTAATATTTGTAGAGCACTGAAAAACATGTCATCATTTGTTCTTTAATATACTTCCCTCAACGAAGGGTAATACCCCTATGTTTCACAGGTGCAGCCTGTATTACAGTTAATCATCGAATTAACAGGTAGCTTGTACAACAAAAAAAGAAGAAATATCTCATACTCGTGCCGCTTTTGCGACTCAGTAAAAAAGGTATTATACGGCTGTGCATATATTTAAACGTGACGGCATTTGAGTTATGCAAACATAGTGTAAAGACGCGCTAAATGTTAGCGTTGTACTATAGGCGCGTCAATGAAAAATGACTCCTTTTCACTTTAAATGACATTCATTTTGGGTATGTGATAAATAGAAAAATTTCATTCATTATTGGATTTATTGAACTCGTTTAATAAAATAATATCATGCTCGCCAGAAGACAGAATTATAAACAATGTATATTATATGCATATAATTTATAATTATGAATTAACTGACAAGCGCAACAAATGCAAAAGGATATGTTAGCTTTATTATTAAAAGTTAACATGATATATAGGAATATAAGTATAACAATCAGTTAATTATTTGAAATTTTTGCGCAAACACACGTAGTGGTTAAAATCTAAATATAGCTTTTAATTTCAAATTACACTTCCTTCATCCGGGTTAGGGGTTTTCTTATTGGCTGGTTATCAAAAAGAATTGATTTATATATCTAATGAATAAGTGCATTAAGTCTAATGCATTTCGAAATAAAAATCAGTTAAATCTTTCTCAAAAAGCCTAAGGGCAATCGATATTATATTAATTTTGTATAAATTCGACCTTGGTTTCAGTGTACTCTAAATTTAGCAATGCATTACTGACAAACTATTTGGGGCTATTTTATTTTCCTTACTCTTTTTCCAGGTTTTTGTCTTATTCAAGTAGGATATCCTATTTTTATTATTGATATTATTTTACTTAGAAATGTTATATTGCACTTCGATAAATCGATAAATATATCGATAATTATGTGATTTCTATTACATTTTTGCCTAACAGTTTGGTATGTACCAAGTAATTAGCCTTTGCCACCATTATAGAGATTATAAAGAACTTACCACGCCCTATACTCTTGGATGAGTGACTTTAAATTTCAATCTTGAGAACGCTTAACTTATATAAATACATCAGGTGCACGTGACGTCATCATACAAATACGTTATGTGCCCATGTCGCCATTATACAACTATACATGTTTTCGTTAGTTTTGTTAGTTTGGCTGTCTTGTTCAACAGTGCCATTTTGATCATAACTTGACAGTCCATCCACCCTACGGACTTTCCTAGATTGAACTAATTCATCAGCTAGGTAACCAGCTACTTATCCCAATGTTCGTTATACCAGTAGACTCACTCCAATTAATTTGTTACATGACTGCGACTGTACATAATATTACAGTACCGTGTCAAAAATGAGAACTTTGTCATTATTTTGAGTTATGCAAACATTCGGTAATTCAGTATGCAGTTTAATGTAGTTGCTCTGTATTTAATAAAGAAATGTTTGAACCAACCATTACATACAAAATACCTTCATGTATTGAATATAGTCTTCACGGGAAATAACTTTTCATTCATCGATCATGCTCTTTAAGATTTATTTAGTTATTTATACTGTCACCTACATTAGGAATACAAAGTTCGTAAATATGAAAAATTATCCGGTCGTTTGTGTGTTTGTTAATGTGATATTTTACGCCGATTTTATCACATTAGGTCATGTCTCGACGGTTGATCCACCTTACCGGTTGTCCTGGATAACTAGCCAGTGGTTATAATTTTTTGGCCGAAAGTCACCGACTACTTATCCCACGTGACTTCTGAATAAATCATAAAATGAGTTTTAGACTCAACGTCTGAGATCAATTGTATAGGAGACATTTCTCCTTGCCTGTGGATCAAACCAGCCTCATCTGGATTTAAAATTCCGATGTTCACTTAAATGAGCTAACCGGTCGTCAAAGAGATATGTAACCGATTATAAACCGTCTCAAATACATTAAAGGGACTCCACTGAGGTTTTTTTTTGACACGAAGGGAGTGAAAATATGTTTTCAATATTTTTGTTTTACTAGATTTAGGTTTGCACCAATATCTTGTGTCCACAATTTCTGATCATTCGCTCACTCCTCTTTCTTGAATAACCTATTTCTAATGCGTAAATCGAGCCAAAACTGAAAAGCTAAAATCAAATATAAAATAGCATTAAATTCAGTAAAAGATGCACCTCTTGCACGCCATCCGAAAACTGCAGCTTCGCCAAGAACGGTTTAAAAATTAAAGGATTTTATTGCTACTGATGCAAGATTTACAACTATGTATATAGTTAAATGAATTGGTAACCTTGTAGGTGCCGCTCATATAATTCTCAGACGTGATTTAAAAATGAGAAGGATAAAAGCCAGATGGATACACCATCTCCTTACATAAGAGCAAAAACTTGCTCGGGTAAGAACCTCTAAACAATTGTTGAAACAGTTCCCTTAAACCCCAGTCACATTAGAGCTTACGATTACCTGCCACTACCGGCGACGTGTAAAACCGACGATCATCGGCGATTGTCTGCGACCAAGCCCTCTTTGAACATATAAATTTACTTCTGCGACTATAGTGCGACCAATCATCAAAATCGCACGACAGGTCATCAGCAAACGTACGATGATCTCCAGATTGTCTGTGATTACTTACGACTACCCGTGACCTGTCATGCGATCACCTTCAACTTTTCGTACGATCATCACACGATTAGTAAAGACTACTCAAGATTATCAGTACCTAGTGGCAATTTGTTAAGACTGTCGTAAGATTGTCGCACTTTCGAGCGACAATCGTGCGACAGCCTAGGACCTTATGAGACCACTAGCAACCTTTTTGATCGCAGAGAGGTTTTTGTGCAAGCTCAAAAACCTCACTGCTACTGAAATTGGTCGTGGGATGTAAATAAGATAACCTGCGACTATCGAAGATCACCGATGACCGTCGTAAGACGTTTTAAAGATTGTCCGCGACCAGTGATCACTGGTGACCGTGAACTGGTCTTTACTGGTCGTAAACTCTAATGTGACTGGGGCTTAAATATAACAACCGATCTTTCGCAAATATCTTCACTGGCGATGATACGTGGCTTCATTTTTGAGCCCGGGCGAAAGATACGTACCAAAATATGGACAAACAAAGGAAGTCAAAGTCCTTTCGTAGCAAAATGCACCATGAGCCTCAAATAGTCATGTATGTAATTTTCTTTACCAATCAAGGTCCTGCTATTCAAATGTTCGTACCAAAGGGTAAACTGTAAATGCCAAGTTTTACAAAGGCAAGTTCCTTCGTAAACAAAAGAAATATTTAAAAAACCGTCGACCAGCAACTGGTCTCCGTGGTGTCAGGTTGTTGCATCACAATGTTTCGTCGCACAAAGCGGCCATTGTTCGAGACTATCTGAAACAGGAAAAGGTTTTCGAGCTTCCTCATCCTTCTTATTCGCCAGATCTTGCCCCTCGTGACTTTTTCCTATTTTCGAGGCTCAAAAACACCTTGTTGGAAGAAAATATCAAATGCAAAAAAATCTCGGGTCGGTTATTTTCCAGTGTCTGAACAGTTACCTCGAAAAGATTATGAAAACGCATTTACAATTAGATCAAATGACTAAAACTTTGTATATCACATAGTGGTGAGTATTTTGAAGGATTGAGATAATTATTTTGGCACTGTTTGTTCAGGACTTCTGAAAACTGACCCAGTTGCATTCATATTTGAACACACCTCGTACTTGCATAGCTTTCCGCATCAAGTGCACTAGTGGATTTATGAAAAAAAAATCCAAATTTTATGGACCTCAGTGGAGTTCCTTTAACAATATTATTATTTATTCCTAGCCTATTATTTTTCAGCTCTTCTAACGTCAAGGAAATGTAAACAAGAAACGCACTAACAGTTCTATTTCTCTGAAGAAATGACGTTGTCAATTTATTCAAAGAGACAATACATGTATTAGTAAACTTAAGATACTTAAGTAAACTTATATTCCACAGCGTTTCTCTTTAATGTTTAGGATGGTATTCTCTTTGAAAGTTAAAAATAGTAACGGGAAAAAAACACGGATATTGAATTATTTTTTTTAAATCTATATAACAGTTTAATCACGTTGTTTTCATTACTACGTGTTCAATTATTGAAACAGTTGTAATAGGAATTGCCTTTGCTAATAAACATACATAAATATTGGATATAAACAGACTATGTTTCGGAACAAAATATTAAGCTGCTATTTTTGTAGGTTTTTTACCATTTAGTAACCAGTCAGCAGTCCACCATACATGATATGTTTCAAAATATCTTTAAAAAACTGGTTTCATGAAACATGAAGAATAATTTTTACTACGCTAATTATTTCTTGTGACTATCAAAATATGCACGACAATCGAAAATCTACACTTTGTACAAATCAAGTTATTGTACACCCGTTCGTCCGTCTGTATGTTGTAAATTGTATAATGTACTGTTTATTCAATTGTGAATTGACTTTAAAGACTAAATTAAAGCTTTAAAGCTTCTAGGTAAATACATATACTTTCTTTTCTATCTTTCAAAGAAAAAAAAACACGCAAACAAAAAATAACCTATAGTTTAAGTATCAATTTCAGCATAAATTGATCAATTTAATGTAAAAGATCATGTAGATACATAATACATTCAAATCAAGTCACGCATTAAATAAAATATACATACCTATAACCCGTGTTCCAATTTCTAACATTTTTTATTTTATGAAGCAAACACGGAAGTAAATATATTGATATTTTACAATCATTGACAAAGTTTGTTTAAATTTAATCGGGTCTGTAAATATTTTTCGACTGACGGTCTCATGTTTCAACAAATAAACGCAGTCTTTCGGACGATATATTTTATATGGTATTTACTTTGAAATATATTTGACTGATTTTAAGACAAAGTTTAAACAGCTGTAAAAATACCCTGTCCGAACTATGGTGGCATATTTCTGCCACCAGATAACCATATAACTAACTAGTTAATTAAGAGGTTAACTAGTTACGTAACTAGTTAACCTCTTAATTAACTAGTTAGTTATGTGGTTAACTAGTTACGTAACTAGTTAATTTTTTCAATAAATAAAAGATCATAACGGGAAATAAATGCATGTTAGTGCCTACAACTGCCATCCTTTTATTATTTTACCAGCTTAATATTAAGTGGTTAACTAGTTACGTAACTAGTTAACCTCTTAATTAACTAGTTAGTTATATGGTTATCTGGTGTCAGAAATATGCCACCATACCGAACAGATACACGTTATTTATATGTCAAACAGCCATCAAATAAATATAGGTTGCAAAAGAATATGTGCACTTAGTTACAAGGGACAGTTTTTATACTTTTTTTAGCAAAATACTGGCAGGTTGGGTATCAAAATTTGCATTATAATGTTGACTACACGATTGTTTACTTTTAGTTGAAATTTGATCGTTATCAGAAATTTGGTTACGTGTTTGGTTACGTGTCTACAGATTAGAGGTGGAGATAAAAGTTGCGGCATTGTGCATTTTGTAAATGTGTTTTTGCCGTTAGATACTTAGATAGTTTAGAATAGAACACCATTCCAGCTATTTAAAGTCTCATATGGTGTAACACTTTCGTTGGCGGCGAGGCGTCGGACTAGTAATCTAAGGATTGCTGATCGCGTGGATTCAAACCCTGTTAGGGGGAAGCCGTTGTTTCCTAGAGCAAGAAACTTTACATTCATTGCTTAGTACTGGTTGGTTCCAGGAACTGTTTCCATAGTGTTTCAATTAGTCAATAACACAATCGAACTTAAATAAACTTCTATAAACTAAACATGTTGATAAGATGAGATGAACGCAACTGATACTTATTAATTGCCACTTTACGAGGAAAAAAAGTCTAAAATTATCACATGTCTACAATTTTCACTTTTCAGCATTTCCGCTACTTAAACGAAACCAAAAATTTGGATAAAAATAAAATTTCAATACAAATTAAACCATTGTGTGGTCAATATATTTCTTCAAATTTTGATACCAAATCTGCGACTATTTTACTCATACATGTATAAAGAATTTCCAAAAGTACACTGCCACTATCCTTTGCAACTGAGTAGATGTATATAGCTCTATGTTTATACACAAAAAAACTGTTGAACTCAAGCAGGTGAAGCTTTTGGTGCGTTAAGCTTTGAGCTGTATATTTGTCGATAGTTCCATTTTTGCTGTTTTCAGAACAATGTCTCTATTTAAAGGGAAAATGCCAGCATACTTAAATGCCAATATTGCGTTCTCAGTGGTGGCTGACCGTTCCAAGGCGCCCTTAAATACTTGAGCATAAGTCCTCTTCGTAACTGTATTCGGGATATTCTCAATTTGAAAATCTCTCACAGCCTGACTCCAGTTTTCTTTTAATACCCCGAAAACCCGAAGATCAAGCGGCTGTATCAAGTGTGAGGCGTGCTCAAGTAGACAAAACACGTGAATGCCATTTGCCTTACACACATCCGACACCTCTAAAGACACATGTGTTGAGTGGCCGTCAACCAATAGTAAGATTGGACGTTTGACTTGACGCTCGTCTAAGTCGGGTATAAACACGTCCGTTATCCAGGTCAAAAATAATTCAGACTCCATCCACCCATTCGGAGAACGACCTATTGCAGCCTCCTGAAAACCTTCAAGAATATCAGCCCTCACACGCTCGCCAGGATATACAATCATTGGCTTTATGTAGTGTCCAATAGCACTAACACAGGCCAACACAGTTATTTGAGTTTTATTACTACTTGAACAGTTATAAACATTTTTTGCCCCTTTCATGGCAATGATTCGTCCACTTTTAGGACATAGTGGAAACCCGGACTCGTCAGCATTATACAAACGAGACGGATCAGACAATAGGCATGGGTCATTCAACTCATTGTTTACAAAGAACTCTAACTCTGAGAACCAATTTGAGATTTTTGATGACGTTATCACTGCTCTTTCTTTTCCGAGCTGCATGGGCGCTCTTTCCGTCAGCTCAGGGTGACGCTTGACGAAGCCCCTGTACCAATCTTTGCCGGGTCGATTGTCTTTAAATGGCGTCTTACGACCATCGTCATCAAGGATCTTCTTTACCGTGGTCAACAGTTCCTGCCTCGTCCTTCCATAGCCGATCCTGGACATGCTGACTTCCCATTCTGCCAGGCGGGTCTCCTCAGCCGGCGAGAGGACAGTGCGGGGACCTGTTTTGTTTCTTGCGTATCTTCCCTAAAACAAGTAGGAGTGTGATATGAACAAGGATAATAAACAAAAGTGCACTGAGAACCATTTCATCAATGATAAAATTAATCTTTTACTGTCATTTATATAACAATAATGATTAAACGACATTTAAATGGCGTTTTAACAAATCAAATTACTAGCTAGAATTAGGAATTATATTAACTGGCCTGCTTTGTTCGCAAACTACAATGACCCGATGAAACGTACTTATTGATTCATAAAATTGTTCTAAATACCTTGATTTTATCATGCAGAGTCGTTATCGGTATCCCGTACGACTTGGCCGCACAACCTAAACGTAAGGCTCCCACCCTGAACAATCTTGGCAGCCTCTGCCAGCACATCCGGAAGCAAACAATTATGTTCAAATATTTCGCGCCAAAAAACTTTAAAAAACGCAACCTTACTGTTATTTTTACGACCGCATATATATTGTTCGGAAATAGACATCGTTCGGCAAATGACGACACCGCTCTACATTGTTTATTCAAATTTTGTACTTTTATTTTGTGTACAAATAATTATCAATTCATATATTTGCAGCAACAGACCAGTTAAGATCATTAAAAAGTTTGCATGTTGGTAGAAAAGTTTAGTATAATTCTTTATTATGATCAAATAAAATAGACGTCTAAATGACGTCCAGTCAAGTTATACGTCATTAATGTTTAATTGACCATAACGAAAACCACAAGGATATAACAAATTGAGCACTCTGCCTCAAGAAAACAAAAATCAAAATCAAAAGCTTAGCTATCAGTTGCAATAGAATAAAATAGTAATTCATGACGTCACGAATTTTTTTTCTTCAGAAAGAGGCTTGATTGTAACACTTCTTGACAGAAATACCCCTACACACGCCGTCATTCGTCATATACCGATCTTTCTTGGCTACGAGAATTTTAATGGATCTATACCAGGAATTAGGATTACGTCACGTGGCAGAACTCACGTGCTCAGTATTGACGTCGACTATAGAAGTAAAGAGTTCTTCATGTACGATTACCATCTTGGGTGAGTTACTTGTCCTTGTATTACATGTTACACTTTATCATAATTTGGGGACCTTTCTGTTGAAAATGTGTCAGAGTTAAATTGTATACATATACATGCACAGCCGCACTCCAGAGCATGCTCATTGATTGGCTCATTTTTGCTGGGGTTTACTTATTGTGACGGAATAGTTCTCTAAAGGAAAAGCGACAGAAATATCATATTCAGATGCTCGTTCATTGGTTATTTTTTCCCGGGGTTTCATATTGTGACAAGAGGGAACGTGTTTTTGTGTTTGACTATGATACAAAAGAGAAAGAACACCAAAACACTAGGCAAATCTAATAAATACTCGCGGGGCTACGCCCCCCTCGTACAAATAGGTAGCCTCGTGTTTCGATGCTCTTTCTATTACTAATATTATAATACTTCATTTCACCGCGCTTGATATCGTAGAGCATCTGGGAAATATAATCTGGACAAAAAATTTTTTTCGCTACCAGTAAGTGAAGGGTTACATACTATATATCTTTATTATTATGAACCTAAGTATAAACTCATTCATAATTTTCAATGCACTCCTCAAGTATAAAATGACGCGGACTTTTCCAGGAAAAAAGGACTGGTCCAAAAAAGACTTAATGCCCGACTTACGTATTTAAAATATTTAAAACACATTACGTAAATTATATTATTTTGAAATAATACTATTTTGTCGCCAATCAGATCTATTCAATAATGTTGAACAAAAAATATGCAGGGTTGACTCATTTCGTTAGAAAAACACATCTCCTTAATGATACAATGTATTTTGAAATAATACTGTGTTTAACCCTGTGTAGATTTATTTCAACATGTTTCAAAAAAAATGTTTAAAAAATAATCGCACTGTTGATTTTAAACTTGATACATCACGTTTATTTCTATTTATAGTAACATGGTGTAGTTTTTTTAGTAAAAAGTTATCAGTTTACCTTTATATTATATCATTCATTTGAGTTTCGTAACATCATGTTACGATGTTAAAACGCACACCTGCCTTTCACTCAAAGGACCTCTGTAAAATAGTGAAAGTTGAATACTTTTGAAAAGGCGTTCCATATTTTTAATGGTGTCGTAAAATATCCGTATTTATTCAGTTTATATAAGTATAATATACATATATAAATGAGTTTTTTTCTTTTCTTATGTATGATAATGGGCTTTGAAATATAACAAAGTCAGTTTCTGTAGTTATTACTTGAACGGACACTATTATCATTTTATTGGACCACTCGAATTCTGTGTGTATAACCTTGATATAAATTTCACACAGCTAACGGCTTAAATTTTATATGAAATATTGTGGTTTTAAGTTGCATGCCTCCAAATGAGCCAAAATAGCATTCGGGGTATTTAAAAACAACTTTTTAAAAAAATTATTCATTTATACTATAAATATAGTATACTATATTTTTAGTAAATATGGATATTTTTTTTAAATAACTATCCCTTGTTGTTTTATTGAAATAAGATGTTTTAAAACATTTTGAATGAAAGAATGTTTTATTGGTGAAAAAATTTTTTTTTTTATAAAAATAATTGGGCGTGGCCATGTACATGTATACCATCGCACGATTGCCTGTGCATATTTCAACTGCGATACCAACGCAAGAAATGCTTGTTTGCGCATTTTGACCACTTTTGGGTAATTAAAGTGGAATATAGGTGCTGATTGCATGCAATGTGTAAACTATTTTCTTTGTTCACTTCATAATATTATATTTTTAAAAATAATTAATTTTTTCATGGAAGGAAGCGCGCTGCTTTAAGCAAATAAATGTCATTCCTTCCCGAAAATGGGAAAATATGGTAAACAACACTTCGGACATTCTGACCTTTTATTGACCTTCCGTCAGCCCCATTGATTGGAACCGAAACGTTTGTCGACTGACTGATCGGTCATTGCTTTGTTTTATGTCATAATTAACCGGTTACTGAATATAGGTATATAATAATTCAAACATTACCGATATAAATCAGTGATTTTTTAAATTTTTATAGTTTAATAATAACATTTTAAAATACCCGAAATTTATTTTAGCATCTGAGGGTAAAATGGGTAAAGGCAGGTTATGAACTTTGATATATTTCAAATCAAAGAAGTGTTAGGGAACATTATATTATGTGTTTAACAAAAACGCTCGCTATTTGAACAATATCAAAAGGTATAAGTTTATTTGTGTGATAACGAGTTCAAATACTTTCATGACCATATACTTTGATTTAGATATCAATTATAATGGCTTTTTTCATTTTTTTTTAAAGTTTGTTGCTCTTTCAACTTAATAATACATGAACCGACTGTACGGGTGAATTCGGGTCATTTTTGATAAAAAAAACTAGTACCATGTTAAATGTAATGTAAAGTATAATACTTGTAAAATGTAACTGACTTTAGGGAAATCGACCTGAAATCAGCACCGACGTTAGTTTTCTCATATGAAAGAATCCGAGGACGCTAGCGCGACTCGAACCTATAGCGGTGAGAGACAAGTGGATCCAAAGACCACGGACGCCTATTTCAATATATTGCAATTTGATATATATATGTAAAATATTACGCCAGCAATGCTGCAAGTAGAATTGTTAACTATAAACTCGCAGTTGGCATGATATCATAACAATTATAATGATAATATTAATAATTACGACAAATTTATTGATGATAATGATGATAATGCTTATTCTGCTGCTCCTGTTCCTTTCACTGCAGCTACTGTTGTCGTTTTTTAATGAAAACAACGGCGACGTCGATGATGAAGATGTTGTTGATGTTGTTGTTCTCGTTGTTGTTATTGTTGTCGTTGATGATGATGATAATGATGATGATGATGATGGTGATGATGATGATGATTTTGTTCGTAACTCTCACTCATATCTACATTTGCAAAATCAACCACATTTTTTCACATGAATTTTTCAATTTACTATTTAACAAAGATCTATAATAATGGGAACTGGATACCACAAAGAGCTGAATGCAACCAACATTGACCTACACACTTTGCATATGGGCGTGTCCAAAGGCACAGTACAAATTGCATATGATTGGCTCTCTAAAACGGTTTATTGGACGGATTCCTTGTATCGATGGATTATCGCCGCCCCGACGGACATGGGAAAAATTATGAACGACTACTATAAGATCATAGTTGATGATCATCTAGATTTTCCAGACGGAATAGCGGTTGACCCAAAGAACGGGTAATATGCCAGCCTTTTTTACTTTTCTTACTAAAGATTCCTGGTTATTTTTGAAACAATTTGATATATAGATATGTAAAGGAAGTTCAATCGCATGTTTCATATCACTTTTTTAAAGTATTGCCCGATTTCGTTGTGTCTCTCGAATATTTTTTATTCATAATAATTAAATCTTATGAATGATACTGAATATTTTATTTAAAAAATGTACTTGCATCTGAATACTTCCAACTCGAAAAGTAATGAAATCTTCATAAAGTTTGAATAAACACAATAGCTATTTTTGTCAAAATATCTAATTTTCATTATCATACATTTGATATACATGTATGTACCTTCAGTATATTGTCGAAAGTAACATTTTGTCTTTATATATTTTGTCAATAATAAATGTAAACCATCTTCAAGATAATAATCAAGAAAGAATAATTTCTATCAAAAACAAATTGTTTTTTATTTATATTGTTCAGATACCTATTTTGGTCCGACAACGGGGTGCATCCGAAAATAGAGAGATCTGATTTGGATGGTAAGAACAGACACACAATAATAACAAAACATCTGAAGTCTCCGTCATCGATCAAAGCAGATATATTTGACAAGCGTATTTACTGGATAGATTCCCTCAGTGAAGACATTCTTTCCGCAACTTACGAGGGCCGGGACATAAAAATGATTGCTAGAATATCGAGATCTGTACTTTTTGATATAGCTATATACAAGGTATTTTTTGTTGGCCTCTGCTTGTTTAAATAGTTTACCATTCATTCAAATACAATGTCTGCCTGTAAATTAAAGGAGCTCCGCTGAAGCCAATTTGCCTTAATCATGAATATAGAAATTACATTTACCAGCTGTATTACATAGCATGGACAAAAACCTGCAAAGAGTAATAAAGACATCCATTCTGAATTAAACCCGTTTTTTTGTGTAATTATTACCCCGATTAAAGTGAAAAACAACCCTCTTCTCTTTTATGGGGTCATTGTGCACAATTTTAAATGGTTAATCTTGAAAAATGAAGTGAAATAATGATCTGAAAAATTGCAGATAAGTTATTGTTTCAGATCTACATCAAACTGCATACAAATCTTGGAAAATATTTCCTGTCCCTTCATGTCAGAAAACATCAGTGGAGTCCCTTTTAGAGATGACTTGGGGTTACCATTGCTTAGAGATGACATGGGGTTACCATTGCTTAGAGATGACATGGGGTTACCATTGCTTAGAGATGACATGGGGTTACCATTGCTTAGAGATGACATGGGGTTACCATTGCTCAGATATGACATAGGGTTACCATTGCTTAGAGATGACATAGGATTACCATTGCCCTTAGAGATGACATGGGGTTACCATTGTGCTTAGAGATAACATGGGGGTTACCATTGCTTAGAGATGACATGGGGTTACCATTGCTTAGAGATAACATGGGTTACCATTGCTTAGAGATGACATGGTGGTTACCATTGCTTAGAGATGACATGGGGTTACCATTGCTTAGAGATGCACATAGGGTTACCATTGCTTAGAGATGACATGGGGTTACCATTGCTTAGAGATGACATGGGGTTACCATTGCTTAGAGATGACATGGGGTTACCATTGCTTAGAGATGGCATAGGGTTACCATTGCTAAGAGATGACAAGGGGTTACCATTGCTTAGAGAGTTTGCTACACATGAGCTACAAATGTCATTTGTATCATAGTTTTGGGACTTTCTGTTGAAAATGTGTCAGAGGTTAATCGTATACATATACATGCACAGTGCGTTAACTGGAATGCAGGTATTAGTTACCCGAACTCCAGAACATGGCAGTTGATTGGCTCATTTTTTTCTGTGATTTCCTTATTATGACAACAGAGAAAGGGCTAGCGATAGGAATATCATATGCAGATGCTGGTGCTTTGGTTACTTTTTTTCTAAGGATCCATATTGTGACAACAAGGAACGTTTTTTTTGTTTTTGCCTATGATACCAAAGAAACACTCGGCAATCTGATTTATACCAGGGGGCTATGCCCCCTCGTACAAATCAGATAACCTCGTGTTTCGATGCTATTTCTATTAGTAAACGTAATTGAAAATAACATTAACACGCGCATATGATGTCATTTTTTGAATACACGACTTCTGGTTTATACACTTTTACTAACACTTTTATCGACTCCGTAACGGTCGTGCGTATATTTTGACGTGACGTAATTTCCATTACACAATCATACAAATTCAATGGTAGCGTTACGCTATAAGCGATTATGTATTTACTGTAAACAGTTCTAATTTGTATTATGTGATAAATAGAATAATACATTCAAGTAAGTTTATTACTAAATTTATTGAACGCGTTGAATTGGATAATATTATGCTCGCAAAAGGCTAGCAACATTCAGCGCGTTGTTTAAATTCAATTTTGAACCTACACTTATTCACTACCCTCTATTTATAGAATGTTGTGTATGTGTCGGATATTTACAATTACGACTTATACACATTGAACAAAACTACCGGTAGACAGCAGTCAACGATTGTCCAAATTCCAGACGAAACAGTTTATGGCCTGGCAGTCTATGGCGAAGAAACGCAGCCACTAAAGGACAAGGGTGAAAACCTTTTTTTGGTCATATCTTACTTTATATACATGAGGTTCTTGGTTTTATCGGTTAGATACGTATTGAACATTATTTTGTAGTAGCTTTCTTAGGCTTTTTATTTGCTTTGCTACTAGCAGCGTTGGAAAATTTATATCTCGCGAGACCGAATGTAACAAAATTTACGGGTAGCAAAGTCAATGTCTCAGAAAGCTGCTACAACACAATTTTTCTATTATTATATTACCTATTCATTTAAAGAAAAAGGGAATTTTAATATACTGTACTTTTATTAGTAATTTCAGAGGCTGAACTGTAGCTGTCAAGAAATGAATTCATAAATGACGGATGAATTTGTGATTTTTGCAAAACCGGTCACGCCTTTAATAATTTTGGTTGCTGTTTCCAAATGCTATGTTATACACAACTAAGATCGGAACCTACGTAAAAAATAGTCCGGCACTTCCATATAATTATAGTACATGTACCATATGTGTCACTAACAATATACGGAATTTTCTATCCATTGAAGCGTTTTAGCGCTTCAAGATTTGCGTGTATTTAGGAAGAAAATTTATAGGTTTTTAATAAATCATTATACAATATTTAATTCACTGTGTATCATTTATTTGGACATATGACATATGACCATATTTTGTTATCATTTTTAAACTATATTATGCAGATTATTGTGCTATAAAGAACTGCGACCAACTTTGTATCACTGAACAGTCTGGTGCAAAATGCATATGTTCCGAAGGATATATATTCAATACAACAACGGGATTATGTCAGGGTAAGGCAAGTTTTAAAATTATTACTATAAAGACTTATAAATATGACGTCACATTGACTGTAAAGTTTTTTATATTTCATTGAAAATTAGCATTGATGCCTTTTGATCGATTTATTATCACGTTATGTATGATCATGTACTATGTACAAGTCAAAAATAAAATAATGTTCTGTTCTGTTCTAATCTGCATTTGTTAATTATACAAATTGTTAGATTTTTTTTTCTATTCGTACCATGTAATTTGTACGTGACAATGTTACTCGTACTGTGACTAGAGGGCTCCTACGTGACTAAAATCGTACGAGAGGGAAAAAACCTCGTACGTGACAATATTTTGCATCCAAATTAAATAAAATATGATATGAAATTAGGCAAAGCCTATGAACGGGGAAGTCGTTAAAAATTCCTTTTATTCTATCCGTTTTAAAGGTGTCATTCGGTATTACATGCACCGCTTCTGTTTTCACTCGGAAAACTCGACGATTATCATTTATTCGAAAAGTTGAGATTTATTCCGTTATCGGAATACCCCGCCTATTATCATTGAGTTACATTGTAAATGGCGGCGCCCGACTAGAACTGACACTGAAAATTTCATTGATAGGTATAGATTTCTATATATTTTTTAATTGTTTTTTATTTGAATTTCTTTTAAATATACGCATGTAGTATATAGCCGGACAAGCCAAAGCCCGGGCCCGTTTTGCCGACCCGAACTTTGACTTCCCCGTATTAATATGAAATTAGGCAAAGCCTATGAACGGGGAAGTCGTTAACAAATTCCTTTCATTCTTTCCGTTTTGAAATTGTCATTTGGTATTAACTGCACCGCTTCCGTTTTCACTCGGAATACTCAACGTTTATTATTTATCCGAAAAGTTGAGATTTGTCCCGTTATCGGAATACCCCGCCTATTATCATTGAGTTACATTGTAAATGGCGGCACCCGAGTAGAACTGACACTGAAAATTTCATTGATAGGTATAGAATTCTATATATTTTTTAATTGTTTTTTATTTGATTTTCTTTTAAATATACACGTGTAGTCTATAGCCGGGCAAGCCAAAGCCCGGACCCGCTTCACAGGCCCGGTCTTTGACTTCCCGTATTATATAATCTAATATGAAAAAGGCAAAGCCTCAAAGCGAGCTCGATGTACTTTTTACGTGAAATAGTATGAAAAAATCGCTCATTTTTATTTCAAATGCAGTAACGAGTGCGTGTGGCGTCACACGTACTGTGTTGAATATGGCTCCGCCCCTGTCGTGAATAACGAGTTTTGAAAACGTTGATAAAACTTTGTTTATTTTATTTCACTCTATATTTTTTCAAGCGAAATAAAGATTATTTAAAGTGAAATAAATGTAAAACTTAAAACGTTTGCGACAATAAAATAGCGTACTTGATTTGTTTGTTTTGCACGCGCTGTTTGGCGCTACATTGTGACTTCACGTAAACAATACTTTAAACGTCTGTACAGCGTTAACGACTGAATAAAAGATATTGGTGTTCGAATTCATTTTCTTAGTTAGACCATTTTCTTTCATTCTAGATAGTTTTTACAACAAAATTCGACAAAAAATTGTTTTTATTTATCAGATTTCAAACAAAATGGCGCCTTCGATTTTCATTTTTTATACACAGCTTCCGTTATTCTGGTTCCCTGTCCAATTATGGTTCCCATAGACGTGCGCGGGTGACCAGTCTACACATCTGTTTTCAGTCAGAATTCCTCAGTTTTTATCGTTATCTTTAAATTCGAAAGGTTGCGATGTGTCCAATTCGGTACTTTGGACAAAAGTTTTCAAAACCATCACTTAGCAGGTACTCGCGTTACCGTAAAGCTCGCTTTGCGAGCAGGCCCTTCGGACCAGCTCGTCGAGCTCGCTTTAAATAGCTTTGAAATGCGTTTTTCTGATTAGCAAAGACGTATCTTTTTGTAAAAAAAGGTCAATATTAGAGTATACTCATTGTTGCGTGTGTTTAGTTTAAATTTTATTTTTAGTATTTTTGTTAATTTTTTTCAGTACATATCACATAATATTAACCAGCTAAAACGTCCTTATTTGTATAATAGGAATAAGTAGCGAAATATTATAGGGTTACCATTACATGTTCCTAAATGACCGGGATATCAACAAAAAAAACATATGCAATATAATATTGCAATTCAGTAGATAGCTTCATTTTTATACCGTATATAAAACCATACTGCTATAAAATGACAAAGAATTAAATTCCTTCTAAGTATGGTGACTGATTTGTGCCATGTCGTATTTTCGCTCCAGATATAAAATATATATATTGCACATGTTTTTTGTTTGAAAGTCACCACTTTGACGTACTTTCGCTCCGCGGGGCGCAAAGCGAAACTACGATAATACGACAAAGTAACCGCTTTGCTATATTTTCGCATTTGCTTTGCGGGGCGCTGGACAAAAAGACGCCAAAATCACCACCTTCTCGTATTTTCTTCCCGCGGGATGCTAAGCGAAAACACGAAAATACAACAATGTCACCATTTTGTCGTATCCTCGTGTCTTTGTCTGGCGCCTCGCTGAGTGAAAGTACGGTAAAGTCATCAATTTGTTGTAGTTTCGTGCTCAGTGGAGCGAAAATATGACATGGCAGAAAACAGCCACCATATATAAGAAAAACCTATATATTTATTTCAAGAGTGTACCTTTTCATTTCGTATATAGGATGATAAAAGGGGATTTTTCAAATAGTAAACGAACAATAATGATACTAATTACAACCAACCGATCTGTAGAATTTTATGAAAAAAAAAAGTTTTTGTATTTTCAGAGTCAAATGCTCAATTTCACAAAGCTGTTGTATTTTCAAATTCAACACATATTTGTCTCATGGACTTAAGAGGGCTCGCCCACGACGCTTACGGCTTAGTTTGCAGATTCAATGTTTTAACACCACCTTCAAGTGCTTCTACAACTTCACCAGTTCCATCATCAACATCATCTCCTTCCGTACCAACAGGTGACCATAATGTTATCAAAACTGATAATTGCTTGTTTCGTTTTTAATATTTCGCTAATTTATATAATTTATATGTATTGACTCCTTTAGATGTATTATTTATGTTTACCTTTTTTAAATGGAAATTTCTATTTGTTCGTTATTAAATAAAGAATATTGAGTTTAAGTTTGCGGTCTGTAGCTTATAGAACATTTATTATAAAAAACCCAAACTTTCTGGTATATGTTAAAAAGTTTTCAAATTAGAAAATAAACGCTGAAACTAACTTTTAACATTTGGATTTTTTTTGTAAGGGAAACAAAAGAAAAAGTGACTCTTTAACAAAATATTTGCTGAAATATTTGCTATTCTAGTTTTTCTTTGTAAGGAAATATTCCAACTGTTTTACTGAAATTATTCATTGTTATCAAATATTTAACATGTTCTTATCTGGCCGTAGCCGACTAGTAAAGGTGGTTAACTAGCTGGTTCACTTGTACCCTACCTTGTGGGTTTGGTTTCCGTTGGCTTACAGAATGACCTTTGTTCAACCCAAGTGCCTGCATATGGTTGAAAATAACGCGCAAATTGATATATGAGGTATACCTTAACCAGTAAAGCTAAAAAGTTAGGATGCGATATAACCTTTATTGTATTACCCGAAACCATTGACCCCCACCTCCACCGCAAAGAAAAAAAAACAAAGTCAAGATGTTCTTTGATTTCTTTCAGCCTCACCGAATGACCTCATCAAGATGATAGAACTGGATGTTGACAACAGGGTTATATATTTCGCTACTGGAGACAATAAGATATATAGAAGACCAGTTGATTTGCCAATAGAAAATGGTGCGAAAGAGCTTATAAAAGATGCGCCAGGAATAATAAGTGGCAAGTATTTGATAATGAAAACGCAAAGTTGTGCTATTTCAGTTTGAAAAACGTACGTTACTTATTATGAAAATCAAAAAAGAAATATGGATATAAGTAAACAGCTCAGAAAGTAAAATAAAAGATTTTATGTTGATTGGAAACTAATAAAATTGATACAGTATTCACATAATCTAAGTTTAGAAAACGCAAAATCAAAGCTGTAAAGTTTTTTAAAGTAAGACTCCTTATTTATTATTCGGTTTACAAACTGTTCAGATTTATATATCATGTTTTTTTGTTTTTTAATTCAATCAGGATTGGCATATGACCTTAAATATTCACCAAATCTATACTGGTCAGAGTCGGACACAAACAATATATGGTACGTGGACACATCAACATTATTTTCAAACAGGATATTCACCGGCGGACAGAATACCCTCGTTAAACCGAGGGACATTATTGTTCTCCCCAATGAAAGGTAAGCTTTATTAAACCACAATATAATATGGTATGCACATATGATTATGACTAACAATATATCCCTCGGCGGGCAAGTCAGTCTCGAAAAATAAATCCGAGGGACATTATTGTTCTCCCCGAAGAAAGCTTTATTTAACTCACAATATATAGAGGATATTGAATGAATGTAAGTTCAATACTGAATTTATTGCACGAGTTGAATAAAATTATATTATGCGAGCCTCTGGAGAGCATTATATTATTTTATTCAACGAGTGCAATAAATTCAGTAATGAACTTACACGAATTTAATATTCTATTTATCACATACACAAAAATAAAGACCGTTTAAAGTGAAATAAGAGTCATTTCATTGACGCGGCTATAGTATAACGCTAACATTTAGCGCGTCTTTACACTATGTTTGTATAACGCTAATGACGTCACGTCAAAATATATGCACGGCCGTGCAATACCATATTTACGGAGTCGCAAAATCGGCACGGGTGTGTGATAAATAGAGGATATTGAATGAGTGTAAGTTCAATACTGAATTATTGCACGAGTTGAATAAACTTATATTATGCGAGCCTCTGGCGAGCATAATATTATTTTATTCAACGAGTGCAATAAATTCAGTAATGAACTTACACGAATTTAATATTCTATTTATCACATACCCAAAATAAAGACCGTTTAAGGTAAAATAAGAGTCATTTTTCATTGACGCTTCTATAGTATAACGCTTACATTTAGCGCGTCTTTACACTATGTTTGAATAACGCTAATGATGTCACGTCAAAATATATGCACGGCCGTGCAATACCATATTTACGGAGTCGCAAAATCGGCACGGATGTGTGATGAAATATGGTAATTGCACACGTTAACAATATTTTGTAAATTTGATATCCCTCGTCGGGCAAGTCAGCCTCGAAAATCCGAGGGACATTATTGTTTTCCCTCTTAGGTCAGCATGATATACATCCTCGAAAAATACAGTTCAGTGTTTATTTATTATAAAAAATGAGAATAGTCCTATGAATTATAATTAAAAATTTGACGAAACTATTACACACTTTAAAATAAATATTTATAAGGCAAAAATATGGCAAGAGAAAACAGTTTGAAAGTAATTGTCTAAAATCTCGTAAGATCAGTTATCAATCATTTTAACTTCTAATGATAATCACAAAAATGAATGATTATCAACCGTTCTTTTGCTTTCATCATCAGTCATTCTTTATTATTTCCGGAATTTGATTCATTCTTCGACATTTCCGGCATTTTCTGTCAATCTTCGAGTTTCATGCACTCTAAAATACAAAATGTCAATCACTTTATCGGAAGTGTTATTAATACAACGTACAGGAAAAACAAAGTGGGTCGAATCTCTTAGAAACGATTATGGGTGACATGATTTAAATATTATATTTGATAGAAGTTTGGCATGGGTAGCAGGCAATCAAGGGAATGTGTCTATTCAGATGATGACGATAACTGGGCAGAATCTTCGCACAGTTAAAGCCAACCTACCAGAGGTCGTTTCCATGGTTTATGACCACGAGGCACGGGTGTAAGTAAACATGTTTTCTTATTCTTTAAGAACGCACGTGAGGTTCTGAAGCATAAAAGAAATATAGTTTGAAATTATAAAAGAAATTAAAGTGTGCAGTTAACACGGGCGGTGTGCAAAAATAATGAAAACATATATTCCTAAAAAAATGCCCGATTTGAGTAAAAAAACAAGTTTATAAATTATATGTTGTTGTTTTGTTTTTGTTTTTTTACTCATTTGACACAATTAAAATGATTATTCTTTAATAATGGAATGGGCAAACGGTCTAACCCTTTGCACACAAGTTATTGGTCTGGACCTAAGGTTGTTAGCCTTTGGTTCCATTTCATGTCCAGACCAATTTGCATATCAGTGCACAAATTTTTGGGGGTAAGGATTAACAAATTATGCATTTCCGTGATAAGTATAAAATATTAGCGTAGCAGGGACTTAGGTGATGATAATAAAACAAAACTTAGTTTAACGTAATGAGCACTACTTGCTATATACAAACTCTATACAAACTCTTACATCTTACTCTTTCGTGATTTCGTGATTTCGAATGTCTTTTCTACATATGTTTCGAGACGATTGAGTCCAATTTTCAAAGGCCAATTAGACCCTAAATGCTTTCATTTTTATTAATCAAGAAGTAGCTCATTATTCATATCTCTGAGCCATTTTACAAGACTTCACATCTATGCTAACTTAGCTTGTCGAGCGCGTATTCCTTCAGATTTATGTTTTATGATATATAAGCCTGCCGTTATTCAATTATATGACTGACATTTTGTAAATTGGGCAATGCTATTTGAACATTCGTACATTTGTTTAAAGTACTATATCAATATCATGTCTGAAAGATTACTGTTTTCAGGTTTTACTTCGTTTCAAACAACAAATTATACAAGGTAGCGCTAAATGGGACGGAGATAAGCCAATATCCTTTAGAAAATCCAAATGTTTATTTAATTCTCCATTACAACGTAAGTTAATTACTAGTTTTAAATAGTTTAAGACAAAGTTTATTACCTTTTTTCCAAAGCATCATATGTCCAGCAAATACAAATGTACAAAAACCTCTTAGAAATACATTTTAAAATACTTTTTATGTCCATTGTGAATACAATGTATAAACCATTTTGAGTTTGCCTTTGGCGCTTCCATTCTTTTAAAGAGTTTAATTTCTTAAAACTTAAGTAAGGGGGGAAGGGGGATTTTCAAGTCCGAACAGTATGTCCAGTTATATACATCTTTATCCAATTTCACACGTATTATAAACAAATAATTCAACATTTCTTAGATTCTAAATATACATTATTTAACATGATTTTTTAGGAGGCATGTATTTCATAATTATGACATTTATTTCAGAATTATTTAGCTTGGATTTACACAAATGCTGCGCTTGGATATGTCATTAAAACAAAGGATTTGATAACAAACACCACAGTCACGCATAGAATCCTTAGCAGAACATCTCTGTACAACAGCATGAAAGTTCTTGATACCAATCTAAAACTACCAAGCTCAAGTAAGTTATAATATCTGAAAACGCAAGTAAGTGATAATATCTGAAAACGCAAGTAAGTGATAATATTTGAAAACGCATGTAAGTGATAATGTCTGAAAACGCGAGTAGATTTATATGATAATATCTGGAAACGCATTTAAGTGATAATATCTGAAAACACGAGTAAGTGATAATATCTGAAAACACGAGTAAGTGATAATATCTGAAAACGCGAGTAAGTGATAATATCTGAAAAAGTGAGTAAGTGATATTTTTTGAAAACGCAAGTAAGTGATAATGTCTGAAACGCAAGTAAGTGATAATGTCTGAAACGCATGTAAGTGATAAAATCTGGAAACGCAAGTAAGTGATAATATCTAAAAACGAGAGTAAGTGATAATATCTAGTGATAATATCTAAAAACGCAAGGAAGTGATAATATCTGAAAACGTAAGTGATAACACCTGAAAACGCAAGTAAGAGATATTGTCTGAAAACGCATGTAGTTAGAGGTTAATACTTGGTTGCTGCTCGGCATTATGCGATAATGGCCCGAAGATGTGCATAATGGCCTTAGGGCCGCAGGCCCGAAAGACATTATGGACTCGAGGGCCATTATCGCATAAAGACGAGCAGCAACCAAGTATTAACGTCTTTAATACCTATGTCCGAAATACGGCATTTAGACATCGCCGCTAATCTTGGTTGTCGCCCTTTCTAAGAAACGGACTGTTGTCAATGTAAACAAAATTTTAATACACATGTAGCTGTCATTCAGTTTAATTCTCCGATTACCTTTAAAAACATGACAAAACAAAATAAATATGAGACAATGTTGTTTTATTGTTGTTTATATCGATAAATACTCTTGTATTTTTTATAAACTTTAGTGTCTTCAAGAATGGTTTCAGAGATTTATGTCTAGCTTTAAAAAATTTGCCATCGATACGATCTTTTTTTCTACCGTCTAACTGAAATCATTTTTGGAAGTTCTGAGGGCCATGTTTTGTCTTGGAATGAGTTATTGTATTCTTTTCTTTTCTTGAGTTTATAAATATTCAATGTTAAGCTTTGTTGATTGCGATTGATTACGTCATTTAAACTTTAAATTTTGTGTGCAAGTGACTAGTTCATTCAACGTCAGCAGCCATGTTGAAAGTCACTGAGAGTTGATGACGTCATTCTGTACGTGCGCTCATTCACTCGCCCACATAGGTAATCGGCGCGTTGATTGGTCACTACCCCCGCACCCCCCTCCCCCCTCACCCCCACACCCACTCTACAGCCCTCCTACCTCTCAAAACCATGTAAAATACAGTATTTTTCATTTGAAACATGTTTTAATATTTGGTTTATGCTTTTAATTCAATAACCTTCATTTCCTACAAAAAATAAAAAATTGATACATATATATTTAGTAAAGGTATGCAACTCGCTGCTCAATTTTCAGCACTCATCTTAATATGAACTCCATAACTTCAACATTTTTTCACCAATTTTCAATATTTTGGTACCAAATGGTAGGGAATTGATTACTCTTAAAGGAATTAAAGTTGTCATTACAATCATTTCAAGTTATAAGAAGATATGTAATCTCGAAGTCACCGCAAGTGTAACTCGACAGTGATCTGACCGCTGGGTTTTCTTCAAAATTACCCGACTAAACGGCAGTTTATTCGAAATGAATGCATATTTCATTGTATTGCGCATATAAATATGATCAAATTATATTATTATTTGTAATAACTGTTCAATCAAAACATCTTATAAAACTATAACAAACCTTTTTTCCTATATGTTAAATTCCAAATTATAATGCAAGTAATAGTTCTACAGAGTGCTCTCCCCTTCATTTTTTGTACGGAGTATTTTCATTGGTCTAAGGTTTTCATACGACCAATGAAAATACTCCATACGAATGCTTCCGTTTATACATGTGTACTTTCATTTTGGATTGGAGAATTTGGCATATCGGAAAAAAGGTTTGTTATAGTTTTATAAGCTGTTTTGATTGAACAGTTATTACAAATAATAATATAATTTGATCATATTTATATGCGCAATACAATGAAATATGCATTCATTTCGAATAAACTGCCGTTTAGTCGGGTAATTTTGAAGAAAACCCAGCGGTCAGATCACTGTCGAGTTACACTTGCGGTGACTTCGAGATTACATATCTTCTTATAACTTGAAATGATTGTAATGACAACTTTAATTCCTTTAAGAGTAATCAATTCCCTACCATTTGGTACCAAAATATTGAAAATTGGTGAAAAAATGTTGAAGTTATGGAGTTCATATTAAGATGAGTGCTGAAAATTGAGCGGCGAGTTGCATACCTTTACTAAATATATATGTATCAATTTTTTATTTTTTGTAGGAAATGAAGGTTATTGAATTAAAAGCATAAACCAAATATTAAAACATGTTTCAAATGAAAAATACTGTATTTTACATGGTTTTGAGAGGTAGGAGGGCTGTAGAGTGGGTGTGGGGTGAGGGGGAGGGGGTGCGGGGGTAGTGACCAATCAACGCGCCGATTACCTATGCTCGCCCATTATGGAAAAATAATGCCGAGTAGCAAGGCGGCCAAAATTGCATAATGACCTAGATCTTGCCATAATGGCCCTGAAATACCCTAGATTTTGTTACTATATATAGTAACATAGGTATTAATAAGTGATAATGTATGTAAACGCTAGTAAATGATTATATCTTAAAACGCGAGTAAGTGATAATGTCTGAAAACGCATGTAGTAAGTGATAATGTATGTAAACGCTAGTAAATGATAATATCTGAAAACACGAGTCAGTTACATCATCAGTGAACGCAAATTATGTGCATATAATAAAAGCAAATGAAAGTAAGTCTGCAGTACTTTTCTTAAACTGTCTTCAATAGAGTTCGTTAAACTATTTATTTAAACGTCGCACGAATGTGGATTAACGCTACGCATGTGTCATTTTCATTTTTGTTTATTTAATCTAGCCATCCTCATTTGAGGAAGAAGTAGGGCAAAGACAAGATAAGATTTAAATTATTTAAAGCTTTAGATTCAAATATGTATTTTATTTAAGTTCTTAATGAGTTTTCTTAAAAGAATATATTGAATATATCTTCACAAAAACCTTATTTTTAGGTCCCTGTGCATTCATGAATGGCGGATGTGAACAAGTCTGCATACCGACGTACTCAGGTGACATCATGACTAAAGTCTGTGACTGTTCCCTAGGTTTCAAGCTTGAGAAAGACGGTCTCACTTGTCGATCAGGTAATATTGTTAAAGACATAGCTTTAAATGAGTTTCAATTATAGTACTTCTTTTTTATTTTAAATTGAAGACGACAATAGTCAATAGTCAATAAAACATGTAAAGAAACAAAAGGTTAATTTGAACTTTAATTTTCTTTTCTTTTCCGAAGTAAATAACAATGTCAAATAAAAGAAAATGAAGCATGCATTGCTATGTTGGCGGATTTGGGACACTTTTGTGCGTTGTCGAACTTCCGTTTTGTCGTCCTTTCACAAACGATGCGCCCCAATTGTCGCTCAGCTCATATTGAAGGATTTGCTATAAGCCAAGCGAATGGGCGACATAGCGACAACGCGCAGCACTTCAACACGCCGTTTGACGTGCTTCGCTTTCGACAGGACGACAAGCTGACAGTGCAACAACGCGCTTTTTGGCGCGCTTCGCTAGCGACAAGACGACGGGACGAAAAGGCGATGACGATATAGGTTGTGTTGTTGCTATTGACAACGCAACGCGCAAAGTGTACCGAATCAGCCACCATAGATGTAGTAAATATATATAAACACATTTGAGATGAAGCCTGAAAGATTGCTGAAATAGCAAAACGCTGCGTTAATTATTTATAAATTGTATACAATTTAAACCTAATATTTATGGTCTCAACAAAGAGGAGCGGTGGCTTAGTGGTTAAGTTCTGTCGCTTTCAACCCAGGAATCATAGGTTCTGGAATTAATTGGGTAACGAATTTGTCTCCTCATATCACACCAGTACTTGGTATGAGGTAAGAAATTCTCTAAGCTTTAACTCAGACTACATGTATTTGGTTGCCATAGAATGTACTCTGACCAATGAAAATCCTGAGTTTTGGAGATATCTTTAGCTCACTTGAGCTAGCTCAGGGTGAGCTTTTAGGATCGTTGAGTGTCCGTCGTCCGCCCACACTTGTTCGTTAACACTCTAGTGGTCACATTTTTGCCTCAATCATCATCAAACTTGGTCAGGATGCTTGTCTAGGTAATTGCTCGGATGAGTTCGAACATGGGTCATCTCGGATGAAAAACTAGGTCACAGGAGCTAAAAATTAGAAAAATCTTGTTAACACTGTAGTGGCTACTGTTTTGATTCAAATATCCTGGAAATTGGTCTGAAAGTTTGTTTTGATGATTTCTAGGTCAAGTTTGAATATGGGTCGCCTGAGGTCAAAAACTAGGTCACACCGCCCAAATATGGAAAAACATTGTTAACACTCTAGTGTTCAGGTCACATTTTTGACTCAATTATCATCAAACTTGGTCAGGATGCTTGCCCAGGTAATAGCTCTGATGAGTTTGAACATGGGTCATCTCGAATTTAAAACTAGGTCACAGGAGCTAAAAAAAGAAATATCTTGTTAACACTGTAGTGGCTACTTTTTTGATTCAAATATCCTGGAAATTGGTCTGAAAGTTTGTTTTGATGATTTCTAGGTCAAGTTTGAATATGGGTCATCTCGGGTCAAAGCCTAGGTCACACTGCTCAAATATGGATAATCTTTGTTAACACTCTAGTCTAGTACTCACCTGTCATGAAACTTGGTCAGAATCTTGTCTAGGTCATTGTTCGGATGAGTTCGATGTGTCAGGTGTCAGAGCGATCTAGGGCCATCTTGGCCCTCTTGTTTACGATATCAAGGCCAGGTTGTTAGTACCAAGACACGAACAATCGAGTGTGGTTAAAAAGATACAATTTTTCTTCATTATCGATCTGAATTAAGATAATGATGAGGGTAAAATTTATGATCAAATTAGAACTGGTACAAACCCAGCTACCGCTTTAAATATGGATGATAGAAGAAGATTTCCCTGTTCAACAATGGAAAAACAGAGACTCGTTTTCGTTACTCTATAGTCACGTGTTCATTTCTATTTTTAGACCTCACTATGGATAACTTTCTGCTAGTGACAGATTGGACAAATACAGCCTTACATCAGATAGATTTGTCAACCGGTGGAATTAATTCTATATATAACAAGGAAAACACTATTTACGTGGGAATGTACTACGATGCACCGGCTGGTAGGCTGATATGGACTGAATATCGCCGCAGATTCGTTTATAGTTCGAAATTGGACGGAAGCTACCCGAGAACGATTGGTGATATAGGTGAGCTTTTTCATAACGTTATAATTTTAATACCCATCTAAATAGATTTAATATATAGCAAATGATTGATGCAAGTGTTTGAAGTAGCTCATAATAGGTTTTTGTTTGTTGAGCTGTTCAATGAAATGTTCAACCTTTAAAAGGTTGTCTTTATTTTACATTTAATAGAAATGTTCAAACTTCTTCAGTTTTCCTTAAGCTTTTATGTTCAGTTTACAAATTGTTCATAGATATTTTTCTTTACTTTAACGTGTTGTTCACATAAATGTTTATAGAAATGCTTGAGGAAACACGTTTGTGTTACATGATATACATTTTTTAAGTTTTTTTTATATTGACATGCGACTTTGCGATGTCTAAGTGCCTTCGTTTTGTATTATACTCAGAACTGAGAGTTTACCAGAGGCATATTGAATTTTGAACAATAAATTTCAAAATGCAAGGATAGTATATTTAATGACCTAAACAAATTCTAATGACACGTGCTGATAATTAAAGCCCTAGTTTAAATCAGATAAAACTAGAAGCGTGTCCATTTGACACTACTTTGTCAGTCTACTAATAAACAAGCGTGGCAGCGGGACGGACGGACGGACAATGACTACTTTACTGCTCCCCTACCCCCTTAAGTAGAGTGGTGTCGGGCATGAAAAAAGATAAATACCATCAAAAATAAGCACAGTATTATTATTTTGAAATCTAACTTTCTACAGTGTTGGAGCAGTACCTCTTAACGCTTGCAGAAATCAAGATCAAAGAGTAGAAGAAAATCGCTTTTTTCATCGGGTTTTACATTTTACATTTATTAACGTGCATTTTGTATATAAATCGGTGTGTAGAGATTAATAAGATGTCTTAAAAAGCGTTTTGGCGGGTAAAAAGGGCTGGGTTTAAGCATTAAATCATTCAAGCGCCTGGCCCGGTATTTACCGAGATACGGTATTTAGTGTGGTGCTTCAACACGTTTTTAAGTTTCACTCATTTTTTGCTAAGGTGATGCATACCCCTACCGGATGGACAAAGATACGACAACAGGTAACCTGTACTATACAACGATTGGAGGAAACGACCACATTGGCGTGCTGACACCTTCCGGGATAAATAAAGTGCTTCGTAGAAAAAAGGCGAGAGAAATACTTGGGGATATAGTTGTTCACCCAGAAAAGGGGTACATTGTGTATTTCTATATGAATTTTTCTTTGATATTATTTTGAAACGTTAACTTTACAATATAATAGTGAATACATTGTCTTGGCAGTTTTCATGAAGCCAACACAATGTATTTAACAACTTGTTTCTTTGAAATCAGAAAATTGTTCATTTATATCTCACACTGTTTGTGATGTCAGTTTAGGACAGTAATCAGTCACTCATACCCCGGTCACATATTCACGGAATACGCCCACGGAAGAGCCACGGATTAATTCCGGCATCGTCCGTAGCTACCCGTACTGGTCAGTAGCTCTCCGTATTGTAACCGTAATCAATCGTAGTAGTCCTTGTATATCCGTAGCGATCCTTGACAATTTTTGAACATGCACAAAAATTTGCTACGGAAAAATCAACCGTAGCGTATCCCTGCTAGTCCGTATTAAACCGTACTGATACGTACTGGTCCGTACGAAAACCGTACTAGTCCGTACTGATTCGTAGTCCACCAACATGTCACGGATTTCCACGGTTTTGTACGGAGAACTACTTATTTGTACGGTTACCCTACGTATAAGCTACGGTTTTAATACGGATTGATGCGGCATTGTCACGGAAAGCCACGATCGTAATACGTTGTACTACGTAGAGGCAGGGATTAGCACGTTCTTATACTGTTTATTGCGTTGCAACACGGAACGGTACGGAATGGTACGGTCCACCACTGTTTAGTACGGATGAATTAAGTATCATGTACTTTTTCAAGGGTATAAATACTACCTTCTTGTTAAAAACAGACATATTTGCGAGAACATTCAATAAATGATAATTGCAATTTACTGGCTGCAACTTTATTTTGAAATGGTTCAGAATGCGGAGGCAGTGGTCGAGCTGCTTGATGACATGCATAGAGGTCAAAATATATTAATATCGTACTAGAATTCATAAGTAATAGAATATCATTTAATGTTACATATTTTACAAACATTGGATCGTGAAATTGGAGTAAATATGTACATAAAACGAAGTGTCTCATAAGCCTCGGACGCTGGCCCTTGAGTGATAATAAGATTAATTAACAAGCTTTTTACATATTTTAAAACATTAACATTCACGATAATTAATGTAATTGTAAAATGAACAGCAAACGTTAAAATTAAAAGAGAAGCAGTATTGATCAACATTTTTCATAATTGATTACTAGTCCATATCTAATCAGGTAAGAGAAGACAGACGAGATGGTGGACTAGAGATGGGCTTTTACGAAGACCGCTTCATGTTTAGTATGAGGCTCTCATGTCCGAACTTGTTATTCAAGAAATTCACTTTAATCGGACCTGATGTGTCTCGGGGGTCGGACGCGATTAGGCCGAATCCTCTCCGTCAAAATCATTGAACTCTGCAATTCGTTTTCTAGGTGTTCTTTTCTTGTGAGGCATTTTGAAAATGAGCATGCAAGAGGTTGTGGACGGATGAATTAGGTCCGTATAGATCCGTGGCAATTCGTTCTTCTCCGTATCAATTCGTTCTTCTCCGTATCAGACCGTACTTATTCGTACTAACCCGTGCTTATACCGTAGCAGGCCGTAGTGTATCCGTAGTGCGCCCGTCCTGATTCGTTTCGCTCCGTATCAAACCGTGTCGGTCCGTAACAATCCGTGTCTCTCCGGGGGCTTTTGGTGGTAAATCCGTCGGACTCCGTACTCATACCGTTGTGTGTCCGTACTGGAACCGTAGCGGACTACGGAATTTCACATTTCCGTAGTAATCCGTGAACGATTAGACCGTAGCTCTTCCGTAGCATTATCCGTGAATATGTGACCGGGGCATTACCGGCATATGTGTCCTGGCAGGTGTTATTGTTGTTGTTGTTTTTTGTGTGGGTTTTTGTTGTTTTTTTTTAATTAGTTACATAACTTTATTCTACAATGCTCATTTGGCGGGACGTTAAAGAATTAGGTAGATCTAAATTCACGCAATGGCATTATATAAATAACACATGGGTTTGTGGGTAACAGTAAAAATATCATCCCGAGGAAAATACTGTTACCCGAGGCGTATTTATACGAGGGATGATATTTTTACTGTTACCCAAAAAACCCATGTGTTATTTATTTTATTACCCCGAACAAAAACTTGAAGTTCTAAATTTGTCAACTAAATCTTAACCATAGGTAATCGGCGCGTTGATTGGTCACTACCCCGCACCCCCCTCCCCCCTCACCCCCACACCCACTCTACAGCCCTCCTACCTCTCAAAACCATGTAAAATACAGTATTTTTCATTTGAAACATGTTTTAATATTTGGTTTATGCTTTTAATTCAATAACCTTCATTTCCTACAAAAGATAAAAATTGATACATATATATTTAGTAAAGGTATGCAACTTGCCGTTTATTTTTTAGCACTCATCTTAATACAAACTCTTTTTTTCACCTAATTTTCAAAATCTTGGTACCAAATGGTAGGGAATTGATTACTCTTAAAGGAAATAAAGTTGTCATTACAATCATTTCAAGTTATAAGAAGATATGGAATCTCGAAGTCACCGCAAGTGTAAGTCGACAGTGACCTGACCGCTGGGTTTTCTTCAAAATTACCCGACTAAACGGCAGTTTATTCGAAATGAATGCATATTTCATTGTATTGCGCATATAAATATGATCAAATTATATTATTATTTGTAATAACTGTTCAATCAAAACAGCTTATAAAACTATAACAAACCTTTTTCCCGATATGCCAAATTCTCCAATCCAAAATGAAAGTACACATGTATAAACGGAAGCATTCGTATGGAGTATTTTCATTGGTCGTATAAAAACCTTAGACCAATGAAAATACTCCGTACAAAAAATGAAGGGGAGAGCACTCTGTAGAACTATTACTTGCATTATAATTTGGAATTTAACATATAGGAAAAAAGGTTTGTTATAGTTTTATAAGATGTTTTCATTGAACAGTTATTACAAATAATAATATAATTTGATCATATTTATATGCGCAATACAATGAAATATGCATTCATTTCGAATAAACTGCCGTTTAGTCGGGTAATTTTGAAGAAAACCCAGCGGTCAGATCACTGTCGAGTTACACTTGCGGTGACTTCGAGATTACATATCTTCTTATAACTTGAAATGATTGTAATGACAACTTTAATTCCTTTAAGAGTAATCAATTCCCTACCATTTGGTACCAAAATATTGAAAATTGGTGAAAAAATGTTGAAGTTATGGAGTTCATATTAAGATGAGTGCTGAAAATTGAGCGGCGAGTTTGCATACCTTTACTAAATATATATGTATCAATTTTTTTTTTTTGTAGGAAATGAAGGTTATTGAATTAAAAGCATAAACCAAATATTAAAACATGTTTCAAATGAAAAATACTGTATTTTACATGGTTTTGAGAGGTAGGAGGCTGTAGAGTGAGTGTGGGGGTGAGGGGGGAGGGGGGTGCGGGGTAGTGACCAATCAACGCGCCGATTACCTATGAATCGAACTGCTAACAAAAATAAGCCAAGAGAAGCAGTAACTAAACTGTCCTTACCTTGCAAGTTTTAACTGCACTGTAGGCCTACTTGAGAAAATGTTTTTCTTTTATTCTTTAGGCAAGTGATGATATAAACCAGTCATAAACATAAAATAAGCTGTGTTTCATTCAGAAAACAAAACACTAACCCATTTATAATGTTATGATCTGTGAAATCTGATCCTTCTGCATCCAGAATATTCTTCGCATGGTTTTTGACAAAGTGCGTTTAGAAAATAACGATGATATCCTACAGATGTCTGTCCACCAACTCTATCTGTAACGTTTCACTGATTAGAATTGTTAAATTATCCTTTGTTGCATGCTTTAAATGTCTGCATGTTCCAGTTTGACACAAAACTATTTACATTACAATTACTTCCGTTGAAAACGGATGTTTCCTGTTGACTATTCAACAAAAAGATATTTAATACGCGAAAGGGACTCTAGGGTGCAAAGAACTAAATTTTATCTGTGTAATAGTTACTTCGGCGATGCCCTATCGTCGCAAATAAGAATGAATCGAGAAAAAAATGGCGGCCATTTTATTTCATTTTATTTAGAAAATAAACCACGTGACCAGATTTTATACTGTTAAAAAATACTGTTACCTATGTAACAGTACAAAATTCGTAGTCACGTGGTACACTTGCATTAACAGTAAGAATAACTCCCATAGGCCTATGGGAAATTAACATTACGAAAAAGGTGAGGGGTAATAATGCAAAATAACAGTATAGGTGTGTTTCTTTCTGTGTTAAGTATGATGTCATTTTGAACAAATTGATTTATCATAGTCTGTGTAAAAAATCAAGTGTTCGATCGTTTTCTTCAGCTGGATGTTTTATACTATTGTTGCCACAGTATCATATATAGCACGTGCTAACATGGATGGGACAAATGAAAGGAAGATAATCATCGGTAATCACGTGACCGTGCCTGATGGGTTAACCATTGACTTTACTAGTAAGTTGACGATTTATGATACTTGTACATGCTCCAAGTCCATGTGTTTGATGAATTTATAGTTTTATAGGCTCGCTCACTTGGCCTTTTTATTCCGGTGCCTATACCATGTGAATTTTTTCTTTTGATCTGCATTGAGCGGAAAAACTATGCCAATGACGGTCCAGTTAGCGTCAAGTGGTATATTCACAGTGGTTTTGTTCCTAAAGAAATTTAAGCGATTAATATGATGAAACGAATGTTTTTCAATACTGTTTGATACCAAATTTTTATGAGTGTTGACCAGAATTTACTTATGCCATCATTTTCAATTCTTAAAAACATTTAATTTTTAGTATCTTGTTACGGTTTAAAAAATAGTTAATTGCCGTAAAGAAGGACTACTGCTTTTGCTACTTTTGCTTTGTTGGCAATTGGTAAAGATATAGTAAATTAGTTTTTTGTATGGAAGTAAAAATACTACTTTGTTTACATTTTGCTACCTTTATGAAACATTACTGTAATTTCATGGGTTTTTCTTTTCAGTTGTTAACCATCAACCACGCTCTACATCCGTTATTAAAACATTTTAAACACATGTTTGACTTTTCTAAAGAATTCAAAATGATATGGATTTCTGAGGCATAATGTGCGTTAAAGAACATATCAAATAAATGACTTAGACTTGTTTCAATCATGCAATATCCACAATATCTGTTATTGTAACTATCAGGGTTTGTTCAAGTCACATGGCTTGTTTAAAAATAACTCGGTGATTCTGTCGGCGTCTAGATATATTTACGCTTCAAACCAAAAATATATAGAATTTATACAGAAATTCGTGATGGGAGTTTTAAAAAAAATGTCATTTTAACGTGATTCGAGTACTTTAAATCATTTTAATATTTTTGTCATTTATTTGCCTGAGTATCCCTTCAAATGAGCCGTGTCATGACAAAACCAACATAATGGTTTTGCGACCAGCATGGATCCAGACCAGCCTGCGCATCCGCGCAGTCTGATCTAGATCCATGCTGTTCGCATACAAACTCTATAACAAGTAGAGAAACCGATAGCGAACAGCATGGATCCTGATCAGACTGCGCGGATGCGCAGGCTGGTCTGGATCCATGTTGGTCGCAAAACCATTATGTTGGTTTTGTCATGACGCGGCTCAAATATGTTTTCGTTTTATAGACAACACACTTTACTGGTCGGACGCCGCCAACGATACAGTTCAACGTTGTAACTTTGACGGTAGGGAATGCGTTACATTAGTAAATAGAACTGGTACATACAAGCCAGAAGAAATAAGAGACCTTGTCACCGACGGGGAATTTCTTTACTATTCATCGTATTTACGAGAGTATGTATATATAATACGATTTAAATTAGGTTTTTTCTATAAGGGACATATCATATTCAAACAGGAGTTTTTTCACCACGATAGTTAAAGGGACTCCACTGATGTTGTCTTTTTCCAAATGACGGGACTGGATGTAATTTTCTGAGATTAATGTTCAATTGATGTAGGTCTAGATACATAACTTGTGTGCAATGTTTCAGATCATTTGCTCTCTCCTAGCGCAAAAGGACGATTTTCAATTTTTTTTTCAGTTTATTACGTAATTATCTTCTGCATATTTTACTGTTTTTAATGTGTCCTAGATGTTTTATGTAAGAAATTCAAATTTTATGTCTTTATGCTTTTGTACCTCAATGGAGGTCCTTTAAATGTTTAAATAATGTATTCAATAGAAACAACTTTAACACATATTTTTCAAAATATAACATGAAGTTTATATACATTTTCCATGTTTATTCTATAAAAGTCATGATTTAAAAATCCTGACAAGAAATCAGCTGAAAACAGTTGATAAATTATTATCTTGTATTGTATTCTGTTAAGACAAGTTTATTAAATCCAAAAAACGTTTTTAGCTAATATACCTTTCGAAATATTTAACAAACTGGTTATTTTACTCATGTTTTGTTACTGACATTTGAACCCTGTTTCGTTCTTAGTTGTATTTTTCTGGCAACCATATCCATATTTATCCGATATGAACCTCCTATACTAGGGATGAACTAATAAAATTGTTAACTCTATGTAAAATTTAACATTTTTTTTAAAGAAAAAATACCTTTATTTTATAGCCATGTAGTTCGTGTAGATATAAAAGCACCAAATGTAACCAAAATAGTAGGACAGAACCCCAGCCTCGGAAAACTTGATACAATGGTATTATACAGAAAGACCAGCAAAAACATACAACCCAGTGAGTATTCCTTGATCTAATCAATAACAACAGACATCATATTAATTTTGTTATTTTCAAATGAAAATAAGCTTGAAAAGAATGATTACAAAATAATATAACTAAATGTGACATATATGATTGAAATAAAAGTTGGGAGACTCGAGATAAGTAGAAATTATTATTATAAATGTGAACAAGGGGGGGGGGGGAGACATGCAAAGGACGCAGTCCCGGGCACCGTCTGACTACATCGGATCACCGTAAATGCATCCAATACGGAGCCAGACAGAAACAGGGACAGGGCGGGCCTCTCCGTTTAAAAATCTAAAAAATAACTTTATAATAGTCTGGGTTATTTCAAAACAAAATGTTATTCATATAGCAAGAAGAATGACCCGAAATTATTACAATTGAAATGAATTGGCAGACATTCGATCGCATTTGATATTGATCTTGTTGGTTTTATAATTATATTGCCAAATGCATCAGTGATGTACATGTATTTAAGTCTTTATTATTTTTTATACCGGTGCTATGGGGTTTGGAGATAAACATGTTTTTAAACACTTCCACACATGAACAAGAAAACTCAAACCGTACCATTAGCATTTTGATTTTTGCTGTTGCTTTATATAGTATACTTATCTAAAAAAAAAATAGAAAAAAAATGGATTCTATAAGGACACACAAATTTGGAAAACTGAAAATACTGCAAGCTCAGTTTAATTAAACCTGTTCGCAGATGCATGTAATTGTAATTTTAAGCAAAACTTTCTACTTTTTAGTTTAGTTTAGTTTATATTAATTTATTCAAGTTTGATTGCGTTGGAAGCGTTTAGCTTATTGAAACACTCTTGAATCCGTTCCTAAAACCAACCAGTACTGAGTAATGAGTGTAGTTTCTTACCAACGGAAACAACGGCTTGCCCTGACGGTGTTTGAACACAAGCGGCCATCAATCCTAAGATTACCAGTCCGACGCGTTAACTACTAGGTCTAACTACAAATAGTATTATTTTTTGAAAATATTTGACATCTTTGTTTTATATTTTAGTCAATGAAGCTTGCAAAGCTCGTAAAGGTCTTGGAGACTGTAGTACTATTTGTTTACCAACTGAAACTGGTAGAACGTGCTCTTGTGAAGATGGCGTGCAACTTAAAATGGACGGCAAGACTTGTTCACACAGTAATCTTTTCTTAAATCAATTATTTGATCTTTGTTCTATTCATTATTTTATCTTTTGAGAACTCAAAACAATTTTTTTACAATTATTTTATTGTTACGAAACTGTACAATATGGACACTGTCTGCTTTAATTATTAACATGCGTTTGAAATTCAACTTAAAGCTTATGTAATTCCGTTTTATATGGCATGAAAAAATAATTTGATAAACATTTTGTCATTTTCATTATCTAGAAATGACAAAATTTGATTTACAAATAAGTTTTTGTAAATCTTTGAGAATTGAAATTTGATATTTTCTCCTAATTAAAGTTAACATTATAAAATTGTATACACAAAATGAAATGCCTAATACAAAAGCAAATTTATGTCTTATTAGTATACCAGTGTTCGGATGTGATCAGTCAGAAAATCCCAACGACACGTGGTAAAGAAACAATTGATGTAGTAATAAACCGCACGTGCAATCGCTATCTGAACGACACTTGTTCATACAGTTGTCCGGCATTTTACATTCCTACCAGAACTTCAAAATTAATACTTAAATGCACAAATGTCGGATGGGATAGGGAAACTGAACCGCTTTGTAAAGGTAATGCGTACAATATGAATATTGTTTTTTAGAATAAAGTTTTAAAAAAGTCATAAAAATATCTTAGATTTAACTCACTATGTTGAACAATGTTATGCAAAGTATTCTTCTCAATTGTATTGCAGGTATTTTTTGCTTTGAAAATATACATGCATGGTAATCAATCAAAGCAGTATTAAACAATGTCTCTACGTTGTGAGTAATGTTAGGCGGTACACTGTTGTTTTACAGAAAAAAAATCAAATGCAGTTTGGTATATTACTAATCTCGACATTGAATCACACGAGATATTTCTCGTAGTCAATATCACAACAGTGCATACAGTTTAAGATTTTGAGAAACATTTGAGCCGCGCCATGACAAAACCAACGTACTCAACCAAGCCCCGTTTTCTCAGTCCAAAAAATCCGTATTGAATCACTTTGTATTCCGTCTAAGCCCAGTTGCAATTTTCAAAGTCCATATCGAATCATTATTGTACTAAAAGTAACAAACTTCTGTCATAATGTTAAAAGATTGGTGGTGTGAAATCAAGAACTTATTTTACAATATTGAATAAAATACTAATTTTATTGGAGTCGTACAAAGGTTCAAAACCCATATTTAGTTTGTCAGTTGTGTACCAATCCAATATCGTTCAGTATTGTGCTCGATATTTATAATAGCCCCATATTATCAGAGATAGACAGAAGTATCACAGAATTTTAATAAAACCGAAACAATTTAAAATATAATTAAAGCTACATGCCTCAAGATAATCCAAAATATTTCAAGAATTAAGAAAAAATGTGCTAAGATTTTTAAAACAAGTAAAACGATTCAATATTCAAGAATTCAATATTCAAGTAATGATTTACATGTTATGGGCGATTAAATGCTGATTTTTACAGTATTTATCACCATATTTTTACTGTGTGACTGACGCAGTAAGGGCTTTTTCTTGCATATTTCGGCCCAGTTTTCATTTTTTTTTAATTTTTCTTTTTTGTAATAAACGTTGATTGTAAGTGTTGTTTAAAATGTAAATGTGAAAAGTACTTTTTTGTTCACTTTACAATATTTACTTTTGAATACATTTTCCATTTTCTATATGAAAATTAACGTAAATCTGCAGGTAAACTGCTTAAAAATGATTAAGGTTTTCATTTTTATTTTTAAATAGATCAAAATAATAAGTCATGTATGTAATAAAAGTTAAAGTGCTTTGTTACCATGATGATGATGATAATTATTATCATAGTTATATTATTATTATTATTATTAGTTTGTCCAGTCCCGGTATGCTGCTTTAATGAATAATTAAGGTTTTCGTGTTTATTTTTAAAAAGATCAAAACAAGGATAATGTTTTAGTTATTATGATGATGATGATGCTGCTGATGATGATGATTATTATTATTATTATGATTATTATTATTATTATTATTATTATAGAATTAGTTTGTCCAGTCCCGGGATCAAACATTAAAATTGTCGGAAAGTGCAGCATGAGACCAGGTGATGCCTGTAGCTTTGAATGTGACAGTGGACATAAAAAGACTACAGACAAGATCTTGTGCGACAATAATTTGAATTGGTCTCCTAAACAGAAATGCATGGGTATAAATTTATGAATATATAACATTTCCTTTTGTTAATAGCTTTATATGTGTTGGCATTCAGACTATTATTTCGGTTTAAGTAAATTTAAACATAATATAACATGATTAACGTTTTATGTCACCACTTACACTGTTGTGTACATGAAGCGATATTATGCCCACCCAAGCGTAAAAATAGTAAGTGTGCGCGTTAAGTCAAAATAACTTTGCACTGCATTTTCACCATAAATGTTGATGGTGTTATACTTTTCCACAAAAATAAACAGTACCCTATGTGACACACTGGACCTTCAATATTCAATATTCTTAGGAATTTAGCAATAACATTCAAGTAATAAAAGGAGTGGGACAAACGTTTTTATTTTAAGCAGTTACTAGTATCACATTTTATCCTGGAATTTTCATTTTCAATTATTGGCCAATTACTATTAAAATTGTCTTTTCTAAAAAAATATAGATAATTAAACCCAACTTTGCAGCAAAATAATAAGCATAATGTCATTTTAACAGCTCGTATTCTTTAAGTCCGTTTTGTAAGTATTACAGTACAGTGCTGTTATGGAAATATGTTAGTAAATTCCATAGCAAAGAAGAGTAAAACAGTTATTAAATCTACTAGATTTTTTCTTAATTTCAAAGACGTTATTAATAGTTTATTCTAACACTCCTCGTGATTTTGTCACTATAGACAAAGAAGAAAATAACCGGTCTTAAACTGCCAATAAATACTTGTATATGCGGCTGTTATGTTTTTCTCCCTCGATTATATAGTTTGCAAAGCATTTTAAAGCAACAATAAAAAAAAGCATTTTTATTGATATTGTCAGTTCTTATAATGTTTTCTATTTATACAATACTGAAATAATATCTCACATACACTAACGCCACATATTTGATCCAAATCAGTTAATAAATATTTTGACAAAACTTAAATGAGCCGCGTCATGACAAAACCAACATAGTGGGTTTGCGACCAGCATGGATCCAGACCAGCCTGCGCATCCGCGCAGTCTGATCAGGATCCATGCTGTTCGCTATCAGTTTCTCTAATTGTAATAGAGATGGTAAACGAACAGCGGATGCGCAGACTGGTCTGGATCCATACTGGTCGCAAACGCATTACGTTGATATTGTCATGGCGCGGCTCAAATGTATTTTGATCATCATTCTTTAGAGTCAGCAACCGTATCAGTGTCCCAAGCACAGTCTGGTGGAGTGCCAGTAGGCGGGGTTGCAGCCATTGTCGTGGTTCTGGTGGTAATCATTATCGCCCTTGTTGTCATTGTTGTGTTCTTTCTTCTTCGAAGGAGGTAGGGTTAAAATGTCTATTTCATAACAGATGTTCGTATATATGGTATAACTTTTACTGGCCTTAGATAAGATAGAATTATTCATTTTTTCCATACCAAATTTTCTTAACTTTTGTATTACTGTTACTATAATCTACAATCGTTAAAGTATTTATAAACTTCTTGGCATAAAACAATTAAAGTAGCTGTTAATAAGTTTGTTAAGATTTCTTTTCAATCTCTTCAATGCAATCTATTAACAACAATCTGAAGGTGTATACAAACAACGTCAAAAAAGGATTTTAAGCGTTGAGTTGCAGTTTACTTGAAATTGATACCATTCAGAAAAATATGTTTCAATTGTTTCTAAAATACTATCAATATTCTACTAGTATGCAGCGATTTCATTTTTTACCAAAAAGTACATTTATATATCTATATTATATTTATACAATTACGTAACTATGCAGAAGGACACAACGGCAGTCTACATCTAGTGCGGCGCAGTTCCATAACGGTCAAGACGGTAGTATTGCTATTGAAAACCCAGGTTATATTCCAACTGAACCGTCTACAACTTCCAATCTTGATGAGCATCCTTATTCAACTGTAGACCCAAGTCATGTTCAACTAGGGTACGTATTTTATGCTCATGTTTTACTTTAGATCACACACTTGTTAAGAGGTGACTGAATAAGAGCCGTCGACAAGTTGACAAGGCTAAACCTTGGTAAACAAGATCAACAGGGAAAGTCACGTGCAATGAACAAATCTGTCGCCAATCTAGCCAAAAGAAAATACATCATTCAGGTTCTATTTTCTTTATAATGATGAAAGTGTAGCCCAAATTTACTAAGAAATTTACTAAGCGTGTATACGGTCATATGATGATGATGATCTATTACTTGTCTATTGCAAATCAATAATTAAAATGTTTTTTTGGTCATATAATTAAAAAACGTTTAACAGTTTAAGATCTATAAGACTAGGGACTATGTCGGTTCTGATTTTTTCCGTTGGACTATACGTTTTGAATTTTGAAATATAAATTTTTCAATTCAGGGGTGTAGCAGACAAACTACCGGAAGTTTCGCATGTCACTCACGATACAGCGGTTCTCACACTAGACTCATGGATGAAAGAACAAAGACAAAAGGATAATTGAACTGGAATGTGATGAAAGACAAATGAACAATTGATACTGGAATGTTAGCACATAGATCTTGCTGTACCAGATCGAACATGTTATGAATATATTTGGTCAACTGTGTTTAAGGTGATTATAAGACGCATATATGTTTTGGTGTATGTAACAAAGCACTTCAGTAAGGTTGTCTTCCTGACTTATACCTGAAAAAAATACGTGAAATAAAGTAAATTGCTCAACTGTGGGAATGTACTTGCTGGCCGGGTATATATAAATTGTCCAACAGTTGCACGTGAACTTATGTATATGTAACCACTTTCCAGCTGTAAATAATTGTCTTATTGTATTTTTTATAGTTTATCACATTGCTTATATACTTTGTTCTGATAAACATTTGATGTTTTTGTAAGTTATATATTATTTATACCAGTGTGTTTGTTTTGCTTTATGGTGACAATGTGCTTTCTCTTATTCAATCAAAACACATACCTTTCCCTAGAAACACATATAATAATGTAACAGCAGTTGCTCCTTGCGGATCCAGAGTGGGGTTAGGTAGGAGGTCAAGTCCACTACTACCACCTTTGGCTTTGGCTTGCATATTAAACTTCTCCCAACTTAGCGTTTAAAGCGAAAATCTCGCATATCAACGAAATATTTGCTCATGACTTCCCTCTGGAAAACGTGTAAAATGTCAAACCATGTCTTCAATATGCTTTATCCCTTTTCGAAAATGTGCGACTCTTCATGGTCAAAAAGACCTGGATCTGCGTTTATTTTAAACATATTGTTTATCATTTTAAGACATTTTTTTCATAATTGTTCTTTTTTAACTTTCGTTTTTATTTGCTATCCTGTATAAAATTCTTTATTGTACAGAATTGGGTCAGTTCAAGGAAGATGATTTCACAATTGAGCTGGTTTTCTATTTTTAGAACTTATGCAATATTTCAGGTTATACGTGTATACGCATGAGGATATGTTGCATGTGTTTCTAAGTGTATGTTTATTATTATTATTATTATTATTTTGGATATAGTTGTTTATAATAAGAATCTACTATGACATTGCTTATTATGATTGTTAACATCATAAATGTTTTACATGTTGTTGGTGCAATTCAATGAATCTAATGTGGAAATAATACTGGAGCCTGTTTAAATAATATTACAGTGCAATGCAGTGCAGTGCTGTGAAGTACACTTGCGTTTTTTGCGTTTGTATCTTCACGCAAAATAACGCAAAATAATGCAAAATAACGCAAAATAACACACTTGTTTTTGAATGTGTTTTATTCTTTTGTTTTCCTTAAAGCCTCGTGCTTGAAATACTGTACGCTCTGTAACGTCGGTTTTCATTGGATAATAGTGCCGTTATATATATATTATCAATATTGATAGCTACTGTAAATTTATCATTTTTTAACTTCAAATAAATAAAAAAAAAATGTCAGCTGTATTATACATTTGTTACAAATACTAATAGATGATAATTTTGACAGGTTATATGATCTTTGAACAATGCTATTTAAGAAATTTATCAGGAACATGGTAAGATTAAGAAAGAACCTATTGCGTGGCGTAAATTCAAATCAATAAGGAGCAAGAAAATTTAACACACATTTTTTGTTACAGGTTGATTTAAGGAACGGATTTGAATGGTGTGTTAATAATCTTATAGCTTCTTTCACAATCAAACTTAAAGCAGCACGCTTCCAAAAGCACTTACAACCCATGTAAATTTACCATCAAGAGTTCAAAATATGCAAAAATAGCTAGTAGTGAAATGTAGTTAAAAATTCATTAATATCGCACATAACATGTAAATTAATACTAGAATTTTGAGTCTTTACACTTTTCCTAAAATATTAGTACATTTTTCTCAGGTATGATTTTAAATAAATTGTACTTGAACTTAACAGAACAAAACTGTTATTTCATCTTTTATAAAAATGTCAATTTATGAAAGTTGCGATTTACTGAATATCTCTGTTATTATTATTATTTGATTTTATTATTTGTTTGTGTGTTTATCTGCAGGTCTTGTTTGAAACTGTTTTTGTTTTGAAAATTATATCATGTATTGTCATTGATGCTTTGTTGTATTGTGTTTGTTAAATAATTATACAAAACCTTTTAAATTCTATTAAAGCTATTAATATTCACAGAGTAAATTTCTCCTTGTTTCCGTACGATAAATGATAGAATAATGATTAGCTCACTTTGATAAGAAAAGGGTAAGCTAAGTTTGGTAGCTCAGTATTATAGAAAAAGGGTTTAGTTCAGGATTAGCTTAGTATGATAGAAAAAAGTTAAGCTCAGTATGATAGAAAAAGGATTAGCTCAGAATGATAGACAAAAATTGCCTCACATTGATAGAAAAAGATTACCTCACATTGATAGAGAAAATATTAGCTCAGAACGATAGAAAAAAGATTACCTCAAATTGATAGAAAAAAGATTAACTCTCATTGATAGAAAAAATGTTAGCTCAGAACGAAAGAAAAAAGAGTAGCATACATTGATAAGCTCAAAACGATAGAAAAATGATACCTCACATTGATAGAAAAATGATAAGCTCAGAACAATAGAAAAAAAGATACCTCGCATTGATAGAAAGAAGGTTGCCTCAATTCGATAGAAAAAAGATTAAACAACATTTAAAAGATAACCTCCAATTGAAAGAGAGAAAAAAATAGTTCAGAACGATAGAAAAAAGATACATCATATTGATAGAAAAAATGTTGCCTCACTTCGATAGAAAAAAAAGATTAACACACATTGATAGAATAAAGATTAGCACAGGACGATAGAAAAAGGATTACCTCATATTGATAGAAAAAAGATAACCGCACATTGACAGAAAAGAAATTAGCTCAGAACGATAGAAAAAATGTTGCCTCACTTCGATAGAAAAAAGATTAGCACACATTGATAGAATAAAGATTATCACAGGAAGATAGAAAATGGATTACCTCATATTGATAGAAAACAGATTACCGCACATTGACAGAAAAGAAATTAGCTCAGAACGATAGAAAAAAGGATGCCTCACTTCGATAGAAAAAAGATTACCACACATTGATAGAAAAAAGATTTGCTAAAAACGATAGAAATAAGATTCTTGACATTGATAGAAGAAGGGTTGCCTCATATTGATAGAAAAAAGATTACCGCACATTGATACAACAGAAATTAGCTCAGAACGATAGAAAAAAGGTTGCCTCACTTCGAAGGAAAAAAGGATTACCACACATCGATAGAAAAAAAATAGCTCAGAACGATAGAAAGAAATTTACCTCAAATTGATGGAAAAAAGATACCTCACAATGATAGAAATATATTACCTCTCATTAATAGAAAAAAGATTACCGCACATTGATACAACAGAAATTAGCTCATGACGATAGAAAAAAGGTTGCCTCACTTCGAAGGAAAAAAAGGATTACCACACATCGATAGAAAAAAAATTAGCTCAGAACGATAGAAAGAAATTTACCTCAAATTGATGGAAAAAAGATACCTCACAAAGTAGGATTATATTACCTCTCATTAATAGAAAAAAGATAGCTCACATTTATATGAAAAAGATTAGCTCACAACGATAATAAAGAGATTACAACACATTGATAAAAAAAAAGATTACCTCAGAACGATAGAAAAAAGGATATGTCACATTGATAGAAAAAAGATTAGCTAAGGACAATAGAAAAATGATACCTCACATTGATAGAAAAATGTTTGCCTCACTTCGATAGAAAAAAATATTAGCTCCAAACAATAGAAAAAAGATAACCACACATTGATAGAAAAAGGTTTAGCTCAGAACGATAGAAAAAAAAAGATACTGTACATTAATAAAACAAGATTACGTCTCATTGATAGAGGAAAGATACCTCACTTTGATACATTGTAGAAAAAAGATAAGCTCACATCGATAGAAAAAAGTTTAGCTCAATATGAAAAAAGTTTCTTGTCATGCAAAAGGTGATACAAGATGAATATGTCGGCTTTCAATAAATGATACAGTGATCGGAACTAAAAGTTGCTTGTTTTCGGTTATAGACAGGTTGCAACTGGTACAGCCATTTTGAATACGTATGATTAATAACAATAATGGTTGCAGTTGATAAGATCACATACACACTTGACAGTAATTGGCTTTAAAGGAAAGGGGATTTGACTTCCAAGAAACAGGTAGCATCGGTAACAGCCTGTCGCTTCATCACCAAAATGTTTAACCGTGCATAAACACATCAAAACAAGTAAACAAGATAAATTAGTATAGTCTGATCACATTGACCTGTCAAATATGAATACATTTTAGCAAATTCATTTAAATATTCGATCCCACTTCGGTTTAAGTTTACGAGAATTATTATGGAGCATATAGATCACACCAGCTTATTGTAATGGTCGTTGTTACATCTGCAATAGTGCAGTCGGTTTTAAAAGTGATTGCATGGTATATGACAGGGCTATGGTTCGATCCCTAATTTTGCCATCGTTTTTGACCTACTCTTTCTTGATTTTTGCAGCATATATGTTAATGAAAATTTAAATACAAGTGCTTACATAATTGTCTGCACGGACATGAAGCAACTTTGAAACATTGTTTTGGCTTGAATTGTATTGTATTTTTAATTCTTAAATCATGGTAATTAAAAAGAGTATAGACTTTACCAAAATAAGCGCAACACATACTAAAACAAAACAAACGACATAAAAACAATCATAACTTCAATAATGTTGAAATTATAAGTAAGAAAAAATAAGAACCTACGTGGTCTCGAACTCACAACATGTAGGGCGCTTGGAAATTATAAACCGGTAGTTTACCATATCGCGCGATAATGCTTACACAATCACAATCACATCTTACTGCGTACATGTCACGGAACTTACCGAAAATATATTAAAAATTAATGTGTACATTGACCGTATAATCAGTACGCCACAATACCTACCATGCACGGATGAATACGTACATGTCGTGTATATCTCTACTTTTTTTAGTATATAACCAGCGATGTTCTAAAAACACAAACTAAAATAGCAACGAAAAAAAAAAAATTATATCATTGAGTACGCTGCGGATGGTTCACTGAATATATATACAATTATTAAATATGAAGTCAACGGTGTTGTACCAATTGTAACATTTGGGACATTTCCTACTTATATAAGATGATAACTGATATGTGTTTGTTCCGAAATACTTTCATACCATTTTTGTATAAATAACACATACGCTTACAGAATAAGGTTTAAATATTAACTCAACATAAAGCCGAAATTGAAGGTTTCAAATGAGTCTTTTTTAAATTAGGTGGATATTTCAATAATTTTACAGAGTCGGCTATGGATATCAATTAGAACTATAATCAATCTTTAGGCTTCATTAAGTCGATATTGAAGTTTCAAGGCTAGGTTTAAATATCAACACAACATTCAGCCGAGATTAAAGCTTCACTACAAAATCAGGTTTAAATGTCAACACAACATTAAGTCGATATTGAAGTTACATGGTTAGGTTTAAATATCAACACACCATTCAGCAGAGATTAAAGTATCACTACAAAATCAGGTTTGAATGTCAACTCAACAATAAGTCGATATTGAAGTTGCATTGTTAGGTTTAAATGTCAACTCAACATTAAGTCGATATTGAAGTTAATGGTTAGGAGTAAATATCAACACAACATTTAGCCGAGTTTAAAGCTTCACTACAGAATCAGGTTTAAATGTCAACTCAACATTAAGTCGACATGAAGTTACATGGTTAGGTTTAAATATCAACACAACATTCAGTCGAGATTAAAGCTTTACTACAAGATCAGGTTTAAATTTCAACACAACATTAAGTCGACATTGAAGTCACATGGCTAGGTTTAAAATTCAACACAACATTTAGCCAAGATTCACTATAGAATCAGGTTTGAGTTTTTGCTTTATGTTGAGTTGATATTTAAACCTGATTCTGTAATTGAGCTACAATTTGGTTTTATGTTGTGTTGATATCTAAACCTAGCTCTGTAGCTTCAGTATTCTGCAAAAAGCGCAAAAATGTGTTTTATAATGTTGTAATAAGAGATTTTAAACATGAAAGATACCTAGCACCTGAGGAAAATAGCATCTTTGTGATATAATTTGTAATTAAGATTGCCAAGTGTAAATGAAGTAATATTTTGACTTCCATACACAGTACTAAAATACTAAAACGGTACTTATTAACAAAACTCAAAAATTAGATCAATTTGTGACCTTTTTTAGAAAATATAATGGACAACAAAAAATATAAAGATTTTGAAAAAATAATAAAAATGATTGCATTTCTAAAGCTTATTGAGCTTTTAAACCTGATAAATCTATGCACTTTTAGGCTACTGTTTTCACGTGATGTATATTTTCCCTTGACATTCAGGCCCGCTGTACTATTCATGAACATTCCAATTGATTAGGGTATATAGACCGGATCGGTCATAATACAATACCTTTTATATATCATACTTTATTTTAAAAAAAAGCAGTAATATAATACTTTGTTAAGTTATATAAAGATAAATATCATCAGGATCGAAAATAACACCCAATTTTTTTAACTAAGTTCAACTAAAAATAGCAGTTTATATTAACAAAAAATTTAAATTGTCGACTAGTTCAGTCGTCAGTTGGTGATATGCTCTAAGATCGAGGGAATTAATGTTTGTGATATATATATATGTATATATTATATGTATCCTTATTTTCGTAATAAGTTTTAAACACCTAATGCAATGGCGGCCTTAATACCGTTGCTACTTTTGTTGACATTATTCAATGGATGTTTGTGTCAAGATTCAAACCCAAACAATTCTACGTTACCAGAAGGTAAGTTTTAACGTTTGTTGGTTGTTGTTGTTTTTTTGTTGTTGTTTTTTATTGTTGTTGTGTAAATAATGGCTTATTATATAATTTTCTAAATTTTTGAAAATAACGGTCTGCTCATTGTTTTATTTCTTAATTACAATGTATGGGACGTTTGTGGCCAAGGGTTAAAACTTTTAACTTCAAACCACTTACCCCTCACCTATGTGGGTTCGAATCCCGACAGAGACTTTTGTTTCGATTTTTTACACGTGAGGAAGCTTTCCAGTAAGTTAACGGAACGTGCCTGATAAAAATGTACGGGAATGCACCCGAGGTCTTCCTCCAACAGTACAACTGAAAAGTCGCCATATCCATATAATCTTAACTGTGTTGATGCGACGTAAAACACAGCCATAAAACATTCTTCTAAGTGTTAAAGTCATAAATGGTTAAGCAATGCCCGACCAGCTTTTAAACGAATGTTTGTAGTTCTGTTAAGATGCTTGCTCATGCCTTAAATAATGCACAAAAGGACAACTTCGCCATAAAAACTGGAACTTTGCGAAAATAGCATGCATAAATTCTGCGTGACTTAAAAATATATAACTGCGATAATATGTGACTTATGTAAAATCATAGGAACTCTGGAACAGGACGCATATTGCGGCGCATAAATCCGAATCCGTACTGGCTTTACATAGTGTTTGTCCGACCTTTGAATATCTTTTCATATTGTGCGAGCGGGTGGTCTTTAATTATGTAATCTCAATTTAATAAAATCTGCTAATTTAAAAATCAGTCAAATTTACGGTATATTGAAAAAAGAAAAGGAGTGACATCCGCCATTTACCGCAACGTTCGGCGTAAGTTATCCCCCTTGATATGCTTGATTTTTGTTTTAATTTTTCTAGTACTCTCTTAATGTCACTCAATACATGGAAAACTTTCACATTTCCTAGTAATGAGTACCAGATGAGAGCCTAAAATATTTATCTATGGATCATGTTTTAATATTCCTTTTTTCAGTTAAGCAAAATTAGTTGGACCATTTCTTACTAAAGTGTCTGTTTTCTCCATGTTAACCAATCAAAACACGAATACGCCCGTATAATGCCGCCTATACATGTCAACATGTGTAAACAATAACCGTGAACGTTATATCCGGACGATACCTGATAGTTGACAAAAATAATGGATTGTAGCCAAAGGGGAAAAACTCATGCCGAAAACGTTGCGGCGAACTCCTTGTCTTTTTTTATAATACCGTAAAATTTGACTAGTTTGAAGAGAGACAGATTGGGTTCAATTGATAACATATTTTTTGAGGCCATATACTCGGATAATACTAAAAGATATTTAGATGTAGCAGAAACGTTTTTAAAAACCGTTACACGATCGAAAATACATGTATGCGCCGCAATCTGCGGTCCCGTTCTCGAGTTCCTATGTGTAAAATATACGGTGCAGCGTATACTATTTTATAGTTTTTTGATAATGTCATGGTATAATAAATCCACACTTACACACGTTATACTTTAGGCTGTATCGTTTTGAATAATATTTTTAAGATAACATCTAAAATGAATAATAATAATTACTTTGGCTTGGCTATATTGGCAATATTGGCGTTAAAATTTGAATGTCACTCCCTCTAACTATTCTGGAAAAGGAACTAAAAGTGAACTAAAAATATGCGTGCAGATAAATAAAAACAATATAAAGTATACAGCAAAAGTAATCTTCATTTTTTTTGTTTATCTTCTTGTTAAGAAATTATAATCCGAAGTAGTTACTTTGATACAACATATGTTTAAATCGACGGACTATTTTCTTATCTCCCGACTTAACCTCGTTCCAGTTCTCTGCTATTGACAGCGAGGTTCATCACAAATGTATTGCAAAACTGATTGTACTTACAGATTCCTTCATGTCAAGTACATAAACGTCTATGTCTATTTTCTTTGTGGCAAGAGTGGTATTACATACCCCCTCTCCCATTTCAAGTATCCATATTTCACAAGGTCATTGACGTTACATTAAACATTAATTTTTTATGCGAGTGTTTGATCTTCATTCATTTTTGAACAGTTGATAAGAAGAAACCTGATGAGGGTTTAATTACGTTATGTCTAACAATGTTTGCTTAAAGGGAGTACTTTTCAAACAAAAATATCTCAATAGAAAATAGTTCAAAAACGTCTTTTAAACATTTTACATTTTTTAGGTTTCATTTTTAACATAAACATTACAATTTCTCGAAGAATATTTACCTTGAAGTTATATTCCTGCATATTTTCGCTTCTCGCTCTTTTTGTTTATTTGTTGTTTATTTGTTGTTTATTGTTTGTTTATTTGTAAAGGAATTGTTGTTGTTGTTGTAAATCCTTTTATCAGTTTAGTACAATTTTGTTTTAAATGCATTATATAACTTATTCATACTACGTTCCTGGAGTGAAAAGTTAGTTTCATTTAAGTTTTCATGAAATTTCGTGCATAAATTCATGAAACGACACGCACGTGTGTATCATTGTAAAAATATATATAATAGCTTTTCATCTTGTTTATTTATCATCATTTATATCACGTTGTCAGACACATACAAGAGACAATTATATAATACGTTTATGTAAGAAAAGTTTATTTCACCAGAGCTGTGATGACCCTAGACACAATACTATTCTTAACTATTTACTGATAAGTAATAGAAATAGCATCGAAACACGAGGCTACCTAGAAGGGAGCGTAGCCAAGTTTTTTGATGTTCTTTCTCTTTTGTATCTTATGTGAAAATATATACACGTTCCCTATTGTCACAATATGAAACCCTAGAAAAAACAATGAACGAGCATCTGAATATGACTTTCCTATCGCTATCCCTTTCTCTGCCGTCTCAATGGGTAAACCCCAGCAAAAATAAGGCAATCAATGGGCATGCTCTGGAGTGCGGGCAACTATAATACCTGCACTCCAGTTAACGCACTGTGCATGTATATGCACATGATTTAACTCAAACACAATTTCAAAAGAAAGGTTCCCAAACTGATACAAGGTATTTCATTTTGCATTAAACTCTCATACTAACTCGCCAACCTCGGCAAAAAGAGAATTTTGCATCTTTAGTGCAGTAACTTGAAGACATTACCTGTATTGGGTCATATTTCGTTTGCACCTCGATAGATTCAATTGCGAATGATGCACAGTCTTGTCACCTACCAACACGTTGAATTATCTTTTATTCAAAGACATTTGAGCCGCGTCACGACAAATCCAACATAGTGGGTTTGCGACCAGCATGGATCCAGACCAGCCTGCGCATCCGCGCAGTCTGATCAGGATCCATGCTGTTCGCTTACAAACCCTATAGCAAGTTGAGAAACTGATAGCGAACAGCATGGATCCTGATCAGAATGCGCGGATGCGCAGGCTGGTCTGGATCCATGCTAGTCGCAAACCCATTATGTTGGTTTTGTCGTGAAGCGGCTTATATGTAGATGATCAAGGAAACTGCTCAAATCATCTGGTCGTTTATTTCCATGTAAGACTACAAGGCTATGACAGTTTTTTTTATAAAAGAAATCATCATTCTCAGATAATTTTTATTCAATGAATAAAGCGATTCAAACCCTCCCCATCGACACCATCTCTCTACAAAATAAGAAAAGAAACAAGACTGTTTGAGTGTGGATTATCTTAATGCTATGTTTTATTTTTTATTTAAAGAACGTGGATTGATTATAACAACACTTGAAGTGGAAAACGGCAACCACGCAATAATACGTCACTTGGGGGCGATGCCTGGTTACGAAAATTTTACCGTATTAGTACCTGGTATTGCGGTGACATCAGATGGCCCTACACACGTGACCAATTTGGACATTGATTTCAAAAATAAAGAATTCTATATGTACGACTATCATTACTCGTAAGTAAAATTCAGTTCTTATTTACAGTTTTTTGGTAATAAACATAAAACGTATACACAAATATCATTATACGTAAAAATCTATAATGATCATAACGATGGTTTATGGTTTAAATCTGGTAGTTTTGAGTGAAATTTCCACATTACATGTTTTTGCTCACACGTACATATTAATATGGACCGGAACATTGTGATCTTCTTCCTTCACATAATCATATCATAATAGAAAGTTTCAAACATAAAGTCCCGGCTAAAAAAAACTATATGCCCGATTTTTCAAATGTCCTGCAGTTCTTCTGATAAATTTTGTTACTGCCAGTGTGTTTCTTGCAATAAGTAACAGCACATTTTAACGGCGTATTTAGCGTCGAATTCAGTGTTTAAAGATGACAATGATCATTTATGACTTGTGTTTCTCCGGTATATACAGGTTTCCTAACGAGATCCATAACATTTTCAAGGATCTCCAGAAGACTACATTTATAAAATATTACTCCCCGTGATATAGCCTAAACGTTAACCAAATGTGAAAATCCATAAAATGTAGCGTCGTTTTTTCATATTTAAGGTCAATTCTTGTCGGAACTGGTTATACAAAAGAACTTGAGGCATTTCGCATAACATTGGCTTACTTGCATTTCGGTGTATCGAAAGGAACAATACAGATTGCCTTCGACTGGTTGTCGCGTACGATCTACTGGGTGGACTCGTTGTTCAGATGGATCTTAGCAGTCCCCGGACAACAATGGAAAGCCGGTTATGATTTTTACAAAATAATTGTTGATGATCATCTAGACTTGCCGGACGGCATTACACTTGATCCTTTGAAAGGGTAAAATATACGTTAATGATTATGTGAATTAGTTGTTTATTCAGATAAGGCGATGGCCTCTGTTTATAAACCTAGGGTAGATAGATCATGGGTTCAGCCTACTCGAGTAAAACCCATGTTTCATTTTATGACACCAGTTCAAGTTTGTTACAGGAAGCAGAATGGAAAATGATCAAAACCTATTGAACATTATCCTATCACAACCCTTCTTAAATGGATAATAATGTTTAAAATAAATTGAATATAAACTCGAGCGGGTTTGTTTGATAATAAAGGATTAGTTATTTGTTATAAGTTCAGCAGAATCCTTGACTTTTAAACGCTGCTTGATTGATAACCGTCATTTTGATTTCAACCACTTTGCCGTCTTGACATTTTGCATACGGTAACAACAAATAGAAATATTCAACACCATTTCATTTTTTATCTTTTGGATCAGATATCTGTTTTGGTCAGACAACGGGAGACATCCTAAGATAGAACGCTCAGATTTGCAGGGAAGAAACCGCCATACGATTGTAAATTCCAAGTATCTGTATTCCCCAATGGCAATGGATGCAGACATATACGGTCAAAGAATTTATTGGCTAGATACAATCACCGAGGCCCTTTTGTCCTCGACATATGATGGAGATGATGTACGGGTGATACATCGTTTGTCAGATACGATATTGTTTGACTTGGCAGTTTACAGGGTAACTATATATCAGAAATAACGTTGTCTGTATTATTTTCTCGTATCAGTATACACCGTATACCAGATACATGCACCCGTATGAAAAATACTTTTTATGGCAAGTGGTTATATCTATTTTGCTGTAGGATAAAGATGCATACACCAAAACAGGTTGGTAACTGGAGAATACGTTTTGATCAAATATATTAAATTTGCATAATATTAAAAGGCATCATATTCTATGTAATACATTTCATGCATAAATAAATTTTCACTTCTTTAAGAAAGGCAAACATGAATTTAATAATGTTTTCATAATGGTTTTAGAGCAAGTAGGATTCTTGTAACCTGAGGAAAGTAGCGACAAGTGTAAACAAATTTGTCATTAATGTAGCAAAATGAAAAGAAAATTGTATTTTGACTTCTATAAAAGATACTAATTCACTGTAGCTTTGCATATTGCCTAAAAACAGCACGTAGAAAACATTATTCTGGTAATTGGCCAATAAGTAACGTTTTTGAAACTTTAATAAAACAAAATTAAAAACTTTTAAGAAATAGAAATAAAACAATTTCTTAGGCATAATTGACCTTTATTCATCGAGAAACCGTTATGCGAATGACCACTGTATGCCTCCCTTTTAAAATTCACTATTTTGATTCTTTAAGTTGCCAAGTTCACTTTTCGCTGATTATGAATAATATCTTTTGGCCTGTAATTAGGGATATTCGTTACACCTTTAAACCTTTAAGGACGTTTAAATCTGTAGCCAAGGATGCTTTTTCGCTGATTATAAATAATATCTTTCCGCCTTTAGGATGTCGTTTACATATCAGACATTAAAAGAGGGCATCTGATTACACTAAACAAGACCACTGGGCACATGGAATCAACGATTGTTACCCTGACAGATGAGACTATCTACGGTATAACCGTTTATGAGAAGAGGAACCAGCCTGAGAAAAATAGAGGTAAATTATTAAATGATAATGTTATAATTCTAATTTATCACAAACCTCATTGTCGGAACGCATTGGTGCCGAACGCATTAAACAAAAATTTAATCCAATGAAATTGCTACGTGTTTCATTTTAACAGTAAACTGTTCTTATATACGAGTATAATATTCGTTTAGCTTAATATCTTCAGTATGAAACCTACACTTCTTCTATGTGTCGATCTATTTTGAGCTTTCCATGAATTAAGAGAACTCCATGTAAAAGAAAAGAAAGAAATTTATATGAAAAAAAGAGAGCTTTTTTTATCGCAACAGAAAGCCTTGTATCCAGGAACCGAGTAAATAATGGCGCATGGTCCTATTCTATTTTGCGAAACCATATTTCTACATATATGACTACTTTAGGAAATATGAAAGATTTTCTTGTATACAAACATGTAGGTGGGAGACATAGTTATTTGTGGTATATGATTAAAAGGGTGTTCCAAACAACACGCACTGTAGTTCTGTGAAATCTATCTATGCTTTTATTTTTCAGATTACTGCGCTGAAAAGAAGTGCGAGCAAATATGTATATCGGAAGAAAACGGGGCCTCGTGCATATGTGCAGAAGGATATAAGTTAAATTCAACCGGAAATTGTGAAGGTATTATATTTTATTAAGTCTTGAAGAATACCTTTGAAAAAAAGCATTCGACGTGAATTCGGTACATGTTAAATTTTTTATAGATTCAATATCTTGTAAAAACCTTTAATGATAAATCGAAATGATGCCCGATCTCCAGGTTTATGGTGATTTAAACTTTAAGGTCACTTAATACATATTTGTTATATTCATACTTTTTATTGCCGAATTACATATTTAACCCAATTTGACCGTCACCTACGGAATCCAGTTTAACTAAGTGAGAAAAAAGCGTGATTACATAAAAAAATATTTAAACATAAATACACTTGATTGACGAAAGTTCTAAGAGATGATTTTGATAGAATTATAACATTTTTTTTGTCTTTTTTTGTAAACGTCAGATTTTATCAACCATACTTGCACGCTATCATTCTTAATTATACTCTTAGATGTTATAATTATTGAACAATTATTCTGTTCACTAGAATCGTTATCCGATTTCCATAAAGCTGTTGTCTTGGGGAACTACACTCATATTTGTTTGATGGACATTAGAGGATTAGCCTATCATGCTTACGCCCCCGTATGTAAATATACTGTGATAGACACGCCTCCCGAGTCAAGTACAACTCAAACACTGACTTCAACATCAACGCCAACAACAGCCCCACGACCAGCACCGACGGGTAAAACTTGAATATGTTCACCTAAAAGTGTAACACTAAGAATTCAATAAAGAGTTTGAACAAATTATAAATACAAAATAACAGAAACTCAACATTTTATAATGTTATGTAATATAAACTTGAATGTTTTATAATTCACTAGATAAATAAGTATGGTGTCACATTCAATACCGAGTGAGAAATTGTAATACAACATAATCAAAGCGATGCTTCATATTTCACTAGGAAGGTGGCTATAATTTATTCTTTATTCATATTATTTGAATGAATTTGTATTTACAACGCAAAACATCAATTCAAAAATAGCAGACCATTTGCAAGAGGAGTTGATTGTTGCTGAAAGTCATTTAATGTATTATCATCATATTCCTATCTTAAACTGAATCTGACTCAGGATCTTTTTGATTCTTCTTATTATTGTGTCAAACAGAACACTTTGAATGTGTTACTATGAAGAATTCCATCTGGCATAGAGACAATGTCAGCTCTCTGACTCTGTTTTGAAACTTGTCAAAGTAGTTGAACCTTCTGGATTTTCTGAATTTGGAAGATAATACGGGAACTACGGGAGCTCTTTTGGTTTTCATTAACTTTTATCTAAATAAATGTAGAAACTTTTAGTGTGTCCTTAACATGAATTAACGTGGAAATGTTTTTGAGTTTTCTTTTCCTTGAATTTTACGTATAAAGTTGTGTATTTATTTCAGCATCTCCCGACGATATGATAAAGTTGATAGATGTAGACAGTGGTGGAAGAATGGTCTTTATAGCAACAAACAATAACATGATATATAAACGAGCAATAGACTTGCCGATTGAAAACGATGCAAGAGAACTATTGCGCCAAGCAAATGGGAACATCAGTGGTTGGTTGTTATAATTAGTCTGCTGTACTGGAACATAGATTCTCCAATATTCTAATGTTTTAAATTAAATATTGTGCTTGAATTGGTTATCAGAGAGGGACGTCCACCCTCATTGAAAGTCAAGGTATCTCAGGGCTTTCATAATGTATAAGTTTAACTTTTATTTGGAATTGCTCATATCTGCAGTGACAAAATTTATATAAAAAATGTGTTATGAAATACATTTGCTTACATAATAGCCTTGTATTTATCTGAGGTTTCATATTTCTTTAACTGTTGTATCATGATCGAATTAAAGAATAAGACAATGTAATGGTAAAATGTAATAAAAACTAATACTGCGCTTTGTCTGAGAAATTATATTTTATGTTTTGGCGTTTTAGGGTTGGCGTTTGATTATCAATATTCTGCCAATTTATACTGGACAGAAATAGATACTGGCAACATTATGTTTGTAAATGTGGAAACAAAATATTCTAACAGAGTCATCATTGCTAATTCTGCTCCACTCATGAAACCGAGAAATTTGATTGTTCTTCCAACAATAAGGTAAGAGTTGTTGTCGAAAGACGAGAACAATTCTTCTTTAGTAAACTTAGATTTACGTTTACAAAGGTGTTTTTTTTCTGATAAGAGAAGCCATTTCATCAGATTTTGGCATGTTTCAAAGTCTCAAAAAGTTTGTTTGGTTTGATTTCAGAGTGTATGCCAAAAGTTATATGCATTTTCGTAAACCAAGATACATGCAAGTAACAAATCAAAGTAAAGATTGTGATTGCACAGTCCAAGAAATATCTTAGAGTTAAATCAAAGTTTCTGTCAAAAGTAATGTGCATTATTTTATAACTTAAGTTACTTACAAGTAAAAGTAAAATATGGAAATGCTTTGTCTAATAAATATTGACGAGTTTTGATATGTTTTAATTATCAAAATGTATTGTTCAGCCGGCTTTAAGTATAATTTATGCGCTATTTTAACTGTATTTAAGAGTATAACTTCTTGAAGATCTGTTATAAATTAGGTACTTCATCTCCATCATGTTGTCACCGGTCATTATCGTGTATCACAACCACGATTCGAATTAACGAAATTAGGTCTGGGTTTGTCGGCAAGCGCTGTAAAAAGAGAGCTCACTAGGCGGATTCATCAGTTTTAATATTAGATTGCACAAATGCAATCAATCTTCACGTAGAGGACGATATTGTGACCTTCCTATCAATATATGTATTGTTAACTATACTTTTTAGACAGTTGGCATGGGTAGCTGGCAATGACGGAGATGTGTCAATTCAAACCATGACCTTAGATGGCAGAAATCTTAAAACAGTTATCAACGGATTACCGGATATAAAAGCGTTAGTTTATGAGGATGAAACTCGTTTGTAAGTACTTATCCCAATCCCGTTTTTCATGGAATGGCACAAACTTGTCACATTGAAAGTTCCATGATAACCGTTGTATGAACACATCTTTGGATGTTTCTAAATCAGGATATTTATCATTAATTAATTTCAAGTTAACTGACGTAAAATTATTAGATTATTATTAACCAAATGCAAAAGCTTTAGTATATGAAAAACTCCTTTATAAGTAGCATGAGTGGGTGTACACCTAAGTTAAAAATGCTAAGATTTTTTTCCAAGTGTTTCAATAGTAATATAAGCGTCGTTACAGTTATTAGAATTTGTCGACGAATCATATAGGAGACATCCGAAAGTATATCATATATTTTTATTCAATTCATTTCTCGAATATTAGATTTTTAGCGATTTTGAAAGTTAAATGGATTTAGATATTAATATATAAGTGCAGGAAAGTTACACCCGAAAATCGTTATTGAGCACTGTTTCCATCTAGTTTTTATTTCTATGGAATCACACAAAGCTTGCTCCTGTTGCCATCCATTTTATTTTGTCAAAATGAGGTTGTTTATCAATAGCATTGTAATTTCTTAATACAAATTTTTGTTACAAACGTTTATATTGATATCAAAGATATTATATTTTTCTTCAGTAGTCTTATAATCAAATACCTCTTTTGTATAAATGAGTAATTTGTTTGTTTTCTTTTTAACAGATTTTACTTTATTTCAAATGGAACGATTAAACAGATGGCATTGGATGGATCGGGGCTAATTATTGCAACCGAATCTGACCAAACGGCTTACCTGCTTCTTCATTATAATGTAAGTTTTTTGTTGTAGATTGAATCCTTTATAAATCCCCCCGGCGTTTACCCCTTAAAGACTGGTTTGTAAAAAATCCCAATGTTCTAAAGGACAAACATGAAAGTTGCACAAGTTTATCATTTATTCATGTTTTGTTTTTTAATCAGCAGTTTTTAATCAGCATTTTGACACATATAATTTTAATTAACAAATCTATTATCTGGTACTTAAAAGGAACTCCAAAACCCTCAAAACATAAATTTGAATTTCTTACATTTGTCAACTTGGGCATTTAAAACAGAAAGATATGCAAAAGAAATATACTCAGTAATAAATTGAAAATCGTGGTTGTGTGCTCTTTTAGCCGGATGCCAACGAAAAGGGTTGCAACGCTTTTCAATTTTTGGTCATTTTTTACAATAAGAATAATTATTCTGGAAGGACGGAGTGAGCTAATAATCTGAGTTATTGGTATATGGAACATAAATCTCGAAAACTTAAGAACAGTCACTTCTCTTAACATGTCAGTTGAGTTCACATTTGTGCAAGACTGAGTATACTTCATTAATGCGTCTCGATATTCGTATGTAAAATAATATGTTTACATAACTTATATAGTGAATAAAACGAAGAAAAATCTAAGTTGGGAAAACAACAGCAAACATAACAAAAACAACTTCTAATAAATTACATTAATAGTTTCAAATGTATTTAAACCAAAGCATACATAATATTTAGGTGGTTTTGACAGCAAATAACAGTCATTAACATAATAACAAATGAGGTCACTTGTAAAATGAAATATATTTATGAATTATGACAACATATTGAATAAAACAAACTAGAAATCAAACTCCACATATCTGTTTACACATAATATTAAGTTATGTGGCTTTATCACAACTTTTCATAAATCTGTTAGAAAATGTTTAGATGAGTAAAACAGTTAGCGTTACTAAGACGAATTTATTTACACGTACATTTATACGTACAGTGTTGTTAGAATAAAAACATTCAAATAAATATTTATTCTCATTGGTTGGATAATTTACGGTATGGTCCGGTATCAAAAAGTCTACATTTTTGATAGGTATCAAATGGTTCATGATTCTAAATTTCCATATATATTTGCCCAAATTAATTGAAAATACATCTTGCTATTTTTCACAACAATTAATGTGAAATCTCAACCTAACTGTACATTTAATCATAAAATATTGAAATATGCTTCAAGACCATTAAGAATATATTTTACAAATATTAACCACTGAGAATTAATTTTAATTTTTTAAGTCAATGAAAACGCTGTTTAACATAACTGGTAACATATTTGGATATCCTTTACATTTATTATTTTACTCCGGAAACACAAATCTTCTGTTTTGACTAAGGGTGATATGTTCAAATCCCCAAACTTCACTTTCATACAAGTTCTAATTGGGATTTTTCAGAATTACCTTACCTGGATATACACCAGCCCGTTATACGGTATTGTGTACCGGACAAAAGATTACAGTACGGACACGACCGGTGCACATGCTATTCTTGATGGCTCATCACCGTATATTGGCATCAAAATACTTGATGTCAAACCCAACTTACCTCAGTCTGCAAGTAAGAGTGATGTCATTTCCGGTCTTTTTTGCTAAGAAAGATATGTCCTTTGTCAATGCTACTCAAAAAGTAGAAAAGGCATTTGCCTGGAATACATATCATGAAAGGTCACCTGAAGTTAACCATTTTATGACGGAGTAAAAGTTAAAAAAGAGAAATGAAGAATCGCTTTGAACGTCCAAAACGACAATTTTGAAAAGTTGAGGCTCTGTTTGATTGGGCCTCTTTATGGATGGTACTAGCGAGTAAAATCTACCGTATACGCCTCCTAGTACTGCCTTAAGCAGAATACAACATTTTAACATGATATTAAACTGAGAAATATCCGAAGACGTGTTGACGGTTGTTATCACGAAACCTTCTTTTATGAAAAACTGTGTATACTGTAGTCCCCAAGTAAAAATGTGCATGAAAGCTTAACGAGAAAACATAAAAAAAACTAAATTAATGGAATTTCGAATTGGGATAAAAAAATTATTCAGCTTGCGTATCACACATAAGCTGGCAAAGGACAATTTATAAAACCAGGCGACATGTCCTTAACGGTGACTGAACAGTATTCAAGTAAGGAAATGGAACCATCTACTTAGAAAAAAAAGCAAAAAAAAAAAAAGAAATAGAAATACCATAATCACAATAATAATGTCTGCTACACGTTCTTCAAATTACAAATTACATATTAAGTGTCTAAGGTTTAGGTTGAGCGAGAAAAACCTTGGGTATCATGTCTAAACATAGTATATATTGTAGATGGGACTAGAAAACCTCGACATTTGTATGATGTATAATTGTTCATGATAAGACGCAAGAGCATTTTGTTATCGTGTAACGGTTTTGAAAATGTGCATAATGTACTAAGAATTGAGAGGCAACATTTTATAAAGTAAACAAACTTTCTACAAGAAAAAATAAAGTATACATAAATCAATACTATATTGTTAATTTCTTTTTTGTATAACAGGCCCGTGCGCATTTTTGAATGGCGGTTGTGAGCAGCTCTGTATCACCAAATACACGGCAGATGTTATGGAGAAACAATGTGAATGCAGCGTTGGCTATAAACTAGACACAGATAAATCAAGTTGTCGCTCAGGTAAATGATTCTACTTAATATGGAAGTATTTGCTTGTTTAAATAAGGAATCAAAACTTGTCTGTTGCTGTGTCTAGGTTTTTCGTATTGTTATATTTTGTTATTTATAGTAAATTGCTATGTACTCAATCATTGAGGGTGAACATGATTTAGATCAAACAGCTGAAGTTACTATGTCATTTGTTCACTCTGAATCGTAACGTCTTCTATAATATACGATTGAAATTTGTAAAATGATTTTTTTGGAGTGTCGGTTAGAATCATATTTAGTTAAAACATGTTATGATTGATGAGTCATACGTAAGGTTCTTAGAAACACAAAACAAAATAGCGCATATAGCCTTGCCTCCATCTAGATCTGCCTACTTTAGATCAGATATGTACGTATTTTGTACAAAACTTATTTTGCTGTACGGTTTATCGGGGTTTCCGCCCGAAAGCCGATCTAAAATCAGTTTGACTTCCTTTCTCGTAAAATTTGCAGTGAGAACTGATGTCATTGATCATTTTAAAATTTACAAAGTGATTTTTTTGTGAATATACTTCTTGTTTAATATCTTTAACACTAATATGTTCTTGTATTTAATTTGCTGATCAAAAAGGACTATTAACACATCAAGTATCAAAATGTCAATTCTTTTCCAGATGTTGTAACGGATGACTTCATTTTATTTACGGAGTGGACAAGTGCGGCTCTTCACCAGATAAATCTACGCACTAATGAAATCAATGCTGTAATCAACCAGGAAAATGATTTCTACCTAGGTGTTTATTTCGACCCCAACAGCAAGAAAATTATATGGTCTGAATACCAAAAGACTACAATTTTTAGCTCGAATCTTGATGGATCTGATAAAAAGGTCATAGGAGATTTAGGTAATGTTTGAAGTGTATTTTAAAAGTCTGTTTTCCCCCAGAATGATATTACATGGTGTATTTTCATTTCTTAAAACCTTTTTTTTTTTGGTTTGGTGTTATGTTACATTTTCTTCAGAAGTACTGAAGTGATCGTAAGTCATATAACTGAACTATCATTTGCTGTTTTTTATTTATATTTTTGTTGTGTTTTTTTATTTATTAGTACAGATATATTGATTGATTAGTACTTTGTATGGAAGCCAAAATACCACTGTTTCGGTTTTTATGAATTTTATGCAAATATATTTCAAATTCAGGGCTTCTTACTTTAGTTGATAAATATTTAATATGCTTTGATTAAATTGAACGCATGTTTGTCCCTTATAAGGGAGAACAAAATATTATTATCCTGAGGCACAATTAACAATTTTAATGCACTTGTGTGATTAATTCGTCTTAGTATGTTAATACAATGATATAACTATCCTGACTTTTTTAAAAATATTCTTTAGAAAGTATTTATGGTAAAGTAAAATAGAAAAAAAAAACAGAATCCTTAAAGAAAGCCCAACACGACACACTTAAAAATATTGAAGGCTCGGTTTGATTGAGCCTGTTCATGGATGGTACTGGAAAGTGCAAGTTACCGTCTAAGCACCCTAGCACCGGCTTAAGAAAAAATCAACATTTAAACACGAACAATAAAGTTAGTCTACACTTGTAATACAAAATAGATCAAGTTGAGTCTTTATGTCTTTAATTGTAATTGAAAGGATCCCGTGTTGAACAGAACGGACCAAATGGTTTCAAACCAATCATGTTGTTGTTTACATTGTGCAAAAAAAACTTTCCCCTGCTCGAACTAAATCGTCTATATTTAAAACATCATTAAATAGATAAGGTTGAAAATTCAAATTTGTTAATTACTTGATGACAAATGAATTCTGAAACACAGCTTTATGATAAAATTTTGGTTCAAATACAGGCAACTCGTACCCTTACCGTATGGACAAGGATCTTACCACAGGCAATATCTACTACACAACAACGCCACATTCTGATCCACATGTCGGCGTATTAACGCCATCTGGTGATAATTTCTGGCTTAAGGTTGACGTCACACATGAAGATATTTGGGATATTGTAGTTCATCCAGGAAAAGGGTATGACCAAAAATTACCAGTATAAAATGGTCTGAACAAAGACTGAGTTCAATGCCTTTACGTACGAACGTAGCAAACTGGTCTTAATCATTTTAGTAATATACCATTCCTAATGCAATATGACTTACAGTTATTAAATAGAATCAAACGGATCTTGTATATGACTTTAAGTTTAATGATATGCAGTTTGAACTTCGGTCATTAAATATTTTAAAATTTGTGCCATACAATATGGACTATTCTGGTCTACATAACATGTAGCTACATAGCATAAAGAAACAACTATTGGTTATTCTTTTTCATCTTTGACTTTATGCTTTATTAATGCAATATTGTTCGACCACCATCCCCTTCAACATTAATTGTTAGCACTTTATTGAAGATATTGACTATATTAAATCATTTTCAATATATATACTTTGAACAATGCAATACCACATCTTAAGACAGATACTCGTGTGCATTATCTGATTAAATCATGATATACGTAGTGTTATTGTGTATCACTACTTTCCCCGCACTGTTTAAACTACATTGTATATAACATTGTCAGTGGGTAATATTGATAATGCAATACCGTAGTTAAAGCTATGATATAATGCATAATGAATTATCTCTTTGAATTGTTATTTGGTATATAATAGTTTACCTGCATTGTGTATGCATTACGCTTAACTGTCAGAATTGTACTTTTCGCATTTCTTAAACTGTTCCTCTCGCTTTCAGATGGATGTTTTACACTGTAGTTCACTCATTGTCCTACATAGCGCGTTCAAATATGGATGGAACAAACGCAATAAAAGTTGTTTTTGGAGACCATATTAGATATCCTGATGGTTTGGCTATCGATTTTATTCGTAAGTAAACCATAACGTGTTCTAAAACAGTGAAATAATTAAACAATGATAAGCAATCTAAGTTTAAGGAGCACCATTGTAGTTTTAAAAAGCGTAAAAATATAAAATTTGAATTTCTTACTTAGACTTTAAATGAAAAATATGCAAAAGATAAAGAGAAAACACACAGAATTTAATCAAAAATTGTTTTTATACTTTTATTTATTTGGTTATTTTGCACAGTAAAATTTATTATTCGGGTGAAACAGGCTGGGCGAATGACCTCTTATTTTGCACCAAAGTTTTATGTTTATGCAAATTTTCATGATCACTTAGAAAATAACAATAAATTCGACGACATTATTCAAATAGAATTTAAAATACAATTGCATCGATTACTTAAGTTTTGACTTTCATGATAATCGAAACTATAAATAAACTATTTCTATTTATAGATGACCAATTGTATTGGTCCGATGCCTTATATGACACAATACAACGCTGTAACCTCGATGGAAGCGACTGCGTCACCATAGTGAATGGGACTGGCTCGTGGAAAATTCAGCGAATCAGAGACATTGTAACTGATGGAACAAATCTTTATTACGCTGCCGATAATAAAGAGTATGTCATTGCATCATTTATATGGGTGGATATAATCGGTGCTTTGTAAATAAGACACCTGAGTAATCCAAATTATCTTTAAGACAAAAGTACTTACAAGGTCCACATTACCCGCTCTTTTGGCGCGAAAATCAAAAGCAGGCAATTGAGGTTTAGCGTGTAAATAACTCCTTTCTCCTTGTCTTTCTATCATGTGTTGGGTGCCTTCTCCTTGTCTTTCTATCATGTGTTGGGTGCCGTGGTTACAAAATGTCTTGAGCATCAAATGCTTCTTGTTTCTACAAGAAAGTAAATCAGTTGTAATGCAGTATTGCAAATGAATATCATAATGTTGTTTTCACAAAGATGTTAAAAATGTTTTAAGTAAAACAGTAAATGAAATTAGTAATACCTAGAAATGTCAAATAATTATGATCACGTGTTTTTCTTTTTGACAGTCATGTTGATAGAATTTCCTTGACCTCACCCTACAACAGAACCATCATAGGTCAGAACCCCGGGCTAGGTCAAATCGACACCTTGGCATATTATTCTAGCTCTAACAGAAACATACAACCAGGTAAAGTAATATAGTGTAACAAATTGCAAAATGTACAACAAACATTTACCTAGGTTTTGTTTATGCAAATAGAAAGAATCGATCAACGTTGCTCGTATAAAATGAATTTGACACATAAATAAATCAATATCCATTTGATCAAGGAAAAGAAAAAGATACTGCACTAAAAGCGGAAGATCATTACATTTGATTTAATTTTACTAGGTGTTAGACATGCTGTTCTTGGTTACTACTTTTCGAAATATATATAAATATAAACAGAATAAAAAGAAAAAAAAATCACCAAAAATAAAAAGATAAACTATTTTTATTTGCATTGATTCTATAATTCAAAATGAATAAATTGTTAAACCTAATGTGACTTAAGGGAATAATGTTTGAATAAGCAAACAAATATCTATAAATTGTATCAGATATCAGTATGAGTTTTCTTCGTTTTACATCAAAAGCCAATTTCCATCTATTCCAAATAACACTATACATAATCAACAATATGCTTTCAGTAAACGAAGCTTGCAAGGCTCGTAAAGGTCTCGGAAATTGTAGTACAATATGTTTGCCCACTGCAACTGGTAGAACATGCGCTTGTAAACCTGGCGGCCAACTAAAGCAAGATGGCAGGACATGCTCTGATAGTAAGTTTCCAATAAATAAAGATATATATTCCATTCAATGCACTTGAAAAGTCAAGAAATTTATCTATAAAATATCCACACAGATATATCTGACTATATTTTCCTTTTGGAAATTTTCAGAGATTGTTGTTAATAGAACTTATTAATGAGTAAAAAGATCGATATAACTAGCAAATATATGTCTATGTAATGTTTCTTTAAATTTCATTAGAATTTTACATTAGATTAGATTATAATTATTGATTGAAAATCCTTAAAGCTGCAGATACATTGTTATCCTTTTCTTATTTTTTTCACCATCATTTTCGTTTACTTTTTCATAACCAAATTTAATTATCCAAATGAATTTTAGTTTATGTTTTCAGTTATTTTTATGAACTGATGATTTCTGGCGTTAACTTAACATTGTTTTTTACGAAATAAAACAATTATTTAGCACTTTCCAATTTTGTTATTCAAATCAACTGAATTAAAAATAAATGACAAAAATGTTAAATAATCACGCTGCACAGCGTTTGCACAAAGTTTGCTGTGAAACACGATTTCAATACATAATTATATACTTGGTTATAATATCATACAATAGTATCAACTTACATCATGTAATAAGGTTAAATATATCTTTACAGTATCATACATTATTTAAAATCTTTTTAAATGATATTTTTATTCTAATTGGTATAGCACATTATTATATACATGTATCTATATTATATTTTTTGTATCTTAGAATTCATTGTGTACTCTTTAGTTTACCAATGTTCGGCCGTTATCAGCCAGGAGGTGAACACGGCGTCAGGGAAAGAATTGATAGATATTGTACTTGATAGAGCCTGTCTGCGTCATCTCAACGATGAGTGCAAGTACAGGTGTCCGGAACATTTTGTTCCTACTGGAAACACCAAGCTTTCATGTACCAGTGCCGGTTGGGACAGAGAAAGTGTAAAGTTGTGTAGAGGTGTGTACAATATGTTTGGGTTCAAAATCCAAATTTTAGTGCTCTAAATTAATAATTAATATGATATAAATATTGACTTCTACCTAAGCCGGGAAAGGCGGTGTTGATATAAGTTTGTACATACATACTGTCGCCATTAAACAGATAAGATCAAACTTAGCACGAAACTTTTTAAATTATGCCGTGTCGTTCGACCGTTTAAGGTTTCCATTATAATATAGTAAACCTCATTACGCTTTTCGTTAAAGTGAGTTTTATTTAGATTTTTCCTATATTACATGAGGCTATTGGTTCTTTTCTAGTCCTCTCTCAGCTTCATTTGTGCTATGAAGGAACCAAAAACACCATGGACAGTGATACTTGAAAAAGGGACTTTTATTTTCATACATAATTCAGTATTTTTTTTATCAAACTTTTACTGTTTGACATAGTCAGTTTATAATGTAGTTTTATTGCTTTTATTTCAGAGGTGTCATGCCCGGTCGATTCCGTGCCAAATGGACGCATCAAGGAAGGTTGTAAACACAGAGTAGGTGAAATCTGCATGTACGAGTGTGACGGTGGTTACACAAATGTTACTGAAGCTACTATATGTAACACCAACATGAGGTGGACGCCATATAGGTCATGTACTAGTAAGTGAACATATAAAACAGTACGGGTTCTTCGATATTATTACGACCTAAACTGTGCGGGTGTGACTTAAACCCAATAAAACAAACAAAATCAAGGGTTGATCACAAAAGTCATGAGAGTTCCTCGCAGAACCACAAGGGCTGCTCACAAAACAAGGATTCCTCTCAATAGCCATGAGGGTTTATCGCAATATCCTCGCAATATCCTTGCTATATTATCTTACATTAATCCTTCACAGTTTTAAGATGAGCATTTTTATGCAAATGATTTTGTCGAAAGACTTGTGAAAATCAGTTTTGTTTGAAACATTATAACCTGAATTGGTCCCCGCTTGAGTGGTGTTTATACAAAATTAATAATTGTTGACATAATACCATGCCTTTAAAAGTGCTCAACTAATAGGAAAACATTTTCTTTAATTTTATGTTGTTTTTTTACAGCTGTCACGGTTTCAGTAATCGACAAGCAGAGCTCTGGTATATCGGTGGCCGGAACCGCTTCCGGTATAGCAGTGTGTGTTTTCGTGATTATAGTTCTGGTTATTGTCATTGTATACCTACTACGCCGGTAAGATTTTGATATGATACTGTTCTATTCTCAAACATCATTTATTCAAATATAATAATTTAATATACTAGTTCATAAGCGTTGAAGAAACAAAAAAAAAATACTAACGGCTCACGGTTATGATTGCTATATGCTCGTCAATATTCTTTAATAAAAACACATAAATGTAACTCTTTATTTGATGGATTAAATGTATAATTTAAACGACATTTAAGCATATTGTAAATATACTACACAAAGTTATGATGAATTTTAATGCATGGTGATTTATTTAAAATTTATTTATTTGTGTATTTATCTATCACCAAAAGTAGTTCAGGTAATAAACAAGCCAGTAAGTACGCAGCATCAGCCGAATTTCACAAAGGACAAGATGGGACAGTTGCCATTGAGAACCCTGGGTATGCACCGAGTGAGGCGGGGTCCGTACGCTCTGTTCGGAAAAAGGAGGATACCCCATATTCTACAGTTTCGCGTGCAGGGTAGGTTTATGTTAGAAATCACTGTTAACATTTTATTTTTAAGTACCTTTTCCCAATAAACTACAACACACGGCTTCTAGACAATTCTGTTTCTACTTTTTGCGGTCATACAAGTTATAGTCATTGGAAGCTGTGTTTGGGACTGATGACTATTTTTACCACATAACGACTTAAATGTATTATAAATAGAAAATTCACGAGTTAAGTAGACCCAGCTCAACTACCAATGTGTATAAACTTAGCGTTTTCATTATAAGCATAAATGTTGTATTATGTCATGTTGAGTATAATTTACAATTTCTTTAAAGGAATGTACTCTACTGAATTTACTTTACACTTCAGACAAGGTGGAAACGAACCTCTTCCTGAAGTAGCCCAAATTGAATCAACGCGTGATACTACGGTACTTACGTATGACTCTTGGATCAAAGCGAGACAGACTGAAGCAGGTGCCAATTAACCAATCCTACCTATTGAGAATCAAACCAAAGTGCGACGAGTAACATTTGATGCCGAAATATGATATTTACGTTTTTTATGCATTACTTTTTGAAGGCAAAAAAATGTAAAAATGTATTACTGATCAATCCTACACTCCTAAGAAAGCAACTAATAGAATATTAAAATTTGAGCATTTTTTACGGCGTAGCTATATTAAAAGAGTTTTTGACCTACTTCTGTAAGCAATGGAATTGCAGGTTACAAAATCTTCAGCTAAATAAGTTAACTATTAAAAGAGCAGAAGTTATGAAAATTTAAGGACAAAACTTGTAAATGTTAGCGTCCCTAAGAAAGAAGTTGTCATAAAAATGTTTCCGCAACATTAAATGCCTTAATAGAAAACTTTTTAAAATACAAAATTATACAACACGTATATCAGAAAGCCAAAAAACTTGTTAGTGTTTACCTGGTCAGTTAATACAATGTTTACTTATTCCTCAACAGGTAAATACACAAATTTACAAGATTATTAATTTTAATATTATCAAGCTAAATTCATTCTAATAGGCCTTTCAGCTGGTGCTGAAGAAACGTTTAGTGAAGGTCACAAAGTGTCTCTTACTTCCGTATTTTTAAAAGGGTTCTGGTTCCATCTAATTTCTAATATACGTATATTGTCAAATTGATTGTTGTTTAGCCTGCATTGTGCGCCCTCTTAATATCACCAAGAACCCCTCAGTATACAAGCATTTGGCTTTAATTGGAGATAAAATCATAAAGAAGGAATGGAATAAACAAATTTTGACTGTTACTTAGTAAAACTTTTTAGTACCCATTTGTTATTACTTTTTTGTTGTTACTTATTTGATATGGACTATGGAAAAAAAGAGCCCCGAAAAAAGCCCAACACAGCAAAACACAGCAAAATTGAAAATGTTGCAGGCTCGGTTTGAATGAGCCTGTTTATAGATGGTAGTGTTAAGTGCAAGTTACCGCCCCAACCAGCACCGGCTTAAGCGTAATTTAGCATTAAAATGAACTGTTAAAATTCTGAATTTTGAAACACCCGCACATGTGTTCATATGGCGGTTTTCATGGAAGCCTTGTTAGTACATATTCAAGTACTGCTTGTAAGACTTAGAGAGACAGGGACAATCTTTTGTAATTATTTCTTAAAACTTACTTGTTTAAAGCTACCCTTATTACCCATTTCTTTTAGTAAATACGCTATACTCATAACCTCTGGCAGTTATAAAGAATAAACACGATTATTGAAAAATGCGCATATATCAGGCGTTTAAAATTCTGAATGACAAAGACACTCGATGTTTAACCTGTTTTATGTTATGATATTGTATTACTTATATAACTGCACATTATGTACAAATAATAACTTAGATATATACACATAAACAGATGCCGATACTACATTGTAATGTTCTTTCATTTGCATTTCTACAATTGTTTTTATATTATACATATATTTCTTCTCTCTTGTTTATTTTATTGAACATACGATTGTTATGTTTTTGTATAACATAAATTCTTATTGATTTTATATTTTGTTTATATTAAATAGAAATAGTCAATACAATAAAAAAAAATAGTTTCTGCTACTTCGTTAATTAATTGTCATCCGCATTTCGCCATCAACATGTCAAAAAATAGCAAATCCCATAACAGAAATCGTTTGGCCACAGTAAATAATTTATCTATTACTATCATCCTGAAATTACATGGTAGCTTATTTTATATGTTTCTTAATTAGGATAATTAGCCAGTGCATGTCATAAAAATGCTAGGTGCAACCACGGCTTTAATTAAAGCTCATGTAATTAAAGCCGCAGTTCGACGTTAGATCAAGACATATCAATTTCAACTTTGATAAATGTTTTTAAAATGAGATAGCGATAATAATCCTACTATTCTTAATATGAGCCTTTTCATGACAAAACAAACGAAATGCGTTTGCGACCAGCATGGATCAAGACCAGCCTGCGCATGCGCGCAGTCCATGCTGTTCGCTGTCAGTTTCTCTACTTGTTATAGGGTCTGTAAGCGAACAGCATGGATCCTGATCAGACTGCGCGGATGCGCAGGCTGGTCTGGATCCATGCTGGTCGCAAACGCATTACTTTGGTTTTGTCATGGCGCGGCTCATATATTTTCTATGGAAACAGTTATTAATAAATACAAGAATAAGTAATAATAAAAATCCAAGTTTTAATATATGCACGTGTATAAATGGTTTCTGACGATATCGGTAGAAGTTTAGCATTATCGATAAACTCATTATTTTACCGTGGATTGTTCGTTTATTACATTTTCTAACTTTATAAATCAAGATTTATTCTTTATACTTTGTTTTGACATACGTGTAATGATACAGAATTTTTATATTAATTTGTAATCTATTTATGGTAAAAGATTATCTCCCTACACAGTAGATGTTCAAACACAATTCCGAGTTAGTTGAAGGTAAAAAATATATAATTATATCAAAAAGCTTTAAAAAAGAAAAAAAGATGCCTTCATAGATTTGGAGCCAAAATTGCCTTATAAAGATATGGACTTTTTTTTTAAGAATTCTCTCTTGCCGCCACGTCGGACTTGAAAGTTGTTGAAATGATAAATGTAAAAATGTAGAAATATGTTTTTATTAAGAACAAAGGTCTATTTCATTGGTCTTGAAATAATGCATGCAAACGAGTTTTGTAAAACATATGAAATCGCAGTTATTTTATCACTCTGAAAAGGTCCGAAGATGTGATATTGCATGTTAATGAAGATTTTTTTATTCTTTATCTGAATTGACTCTGGTTCCTTACAGGAGATTTAAAAGTCACATAAAAATGCTAAGTAATTTTAAAATATCTTGAGGAAAATATATATCAGTGATTTCAAATATTTTATAAATGATGATAAAGTTTTTATTGTTTATGACTAATATAAACTAGAAATGTGTCTGAAAGACACGGATGCCCGCTATATATGTTAAAGAATAAAACAATGGCGTAAGCTTTTTTAACTTGTCAACAATCCTCCTGCATTTTTTCTTAAATCTTGTATTCAAACGTAGTAATATGTTGTTATTAATATCTGTGACTACAGTTGCACTTATGATTGTCTTTATGTTCGTTACTGTACTTTCGATGTTGGCCGCGTCATGACGAAACCAACATAATGGGTTTGCGACCAACAATGGATCCAAACCAGCCTGCGCATCCGCGCAGTCTGATCAGGATCCATGCTGTTCGCTATCAGTTTTTCTACTTGTAGTAGGGTTTGTAAGCGAACAGCATGGATCCTGATCAGACTGCGCGGATGCGCAGGCTGGTCTGGATCCATGCTGGTCGCAAACCCATTATGTTGGTTTTGTCGTGACGCGGCTCATGTATTCTTCAATATTGGGTTTATATTCGTCGTGATATTTAAAACCTGTCACTGCAGCTTCAATATTGACCTTGAAAATATATTTTGATCTGTCACTCGACTTTTTACATTAGCTTTTATGTTTGGATGGAAATTGTATTCTATTGGGCAGTGTAACACCGCACTTTGGGGTCCGACCCCAGAGTGCGTTACGCACTTTGGGGTCCAATTTCGACCCCAAAGTGCGTTAAACAGGTACATATGCATTTTTTAACATCAGGCAAACGACCGCACTTTGGGGTCATAGAAAATTAATGTTCATTATGTTTTAAATAATATATTGTAGTCAAAGCCAATGGTAAACAAAAATCAAGGTATTAAATAGACACAAACATGTGCCCTGAATTATAGTAGAATCAATAGGGATTTAAATGGTCTTGATTAGTAAGTGAAGAACTTTCATCAAATAAATCACCAAATAAAGAATTTGTATCAATTATTAAGCTTAATATATTTTTTTTATCAAATTTTCCATTTATTTTAAAAGAATGTACACCTTTCATTAACTCCATTATTTTTAGCTAAATGCATCATTTTCCCGTTTTTTATTTACACATTTTATAGAAATATGATAGTCTCAGCATAGACAAAGGTATAAATTCTGGGAAATCTTAGTAAGACAATTCTGTAAAAAGTGTGCCTGATAATATGTTGAAAGAGCCGTTTATTTAGCTAAATGTAATATATAAGAAACTTGACTAGGTGTAGATGCGGCTTTAAGTAGTAGTCCGTACAGGCAGTACTAAAAATATCAACTATTTAAATAGGCGGAGCTTCAGAATAATGTAAAATTCTCACTGGGGGTATAGAGGGGATTGTGGGGTATCGATCCTCCCGAGGGTTAAAAATGACGTTTAAAGGACCATTATGTTTTTGTTTCTTTTTTCTTAAAAGCTTTTTTATTTTGATGTTCGTCTATATTATCCAAAAAATACACATTGGCCAATTACCTGAACCATCTTTTTCATCTGTTGCTTTTTTGGCAATGATGAGTACAGTTATAGTGAATTATTATTGTATATGGAAGTCAAATACGTCAGTGTTTTGACTTCTTTTATGATAAATAATTTCACATTTATCGCTACTTTATTCAGGTAACAAGCATCTTACATTTCTCTGATACAATTATTTTAACATTATAAAAGTCATGTTTGCTCTTTCTAAAGAAGTATGTAAGATTTCCCATAAAAAAGCCTCTGGCGAACGGTTGTTACGGAGCTTACAAAAACCCTTAAGTTTGTTGATAGGCTTAATAATGTATTTGTAAAGATCACTATTTATAGTCCGATCGAAAAACTTCATGTTTCACCAAAACATTGCTTTAGAGTATATTTATAGTTCCTTGGAAAAAAATATTAACTGCATTTTATTTCATTTTCAACATATCTAAAATGGGGCTCAATATGGCACCAAAAGTTATGACCGACAGAACGGGATATTTTTCGCAGCATCTTTTAATTCTAGGAATACACAATTTCTGTACTAGAGTATTTTGAACGGTGGCATAAAAGTGACATTTGTATTTTTTTGATACTTTTATTTTGTTTTTCGTACATATTTTTTGTTTGTTTGGCGTACATATTTTTTTTTAATTTTGAATACTTTTTTAGTTTTGCATACATATTCTTTTTTAGTTTGCATACATATTTTATTTTAGTTTTGCATACATATTCTTTTTTAGTTTGCAAACATATTTTATTTTAGTTTTTTTTTTTTTTGTACATTTATTTCCTTTTTTTTCCGTACATATTTTTACATGACGCCATTTGCAAAGTAGAGGTTTGGATAATTACACCATTTGTAAAACACCATTTTCAAACACTTCGCCATCTGTAAATTACAGTACCCCATTTGCATATATATAAAACAATAATTATATAAAATACATATTATTTAAAAAATGGGCTGAAAAGGGCCGACCGAAATCAGACTTGCCCGGCCGAAAACGACTTGGCCGATTCCAAAAATGGGCCGAAAAAAATGGACCAAACCACTGTGCTAGTTTTATACTCAACTATGCGCTGTTATTAGATTTGAAGGCTGTTTTGATTGGCTAAAATATGTATTAAAACAAAAACAAAATATGTACGAAAAACAAAAAAAAAATATGAATGCAAAACTAAAAAAATATGTATGCAAAACTGAAAAAAATATGTATGTAAAACTAAAATAAAATATGTATACAAAACTAAAAACAAAAAAAAATGCAAATGTCACTTTTATGCCACCGTAATTTTGTTATATGAACACATTTTTTAGATATTTCAAGTGGTAAAATTAATGAAACTTTTATCACTTATTCATCATAAAGTATTGACCGCCATCTTGAACTCCACCTAAAATATTCCAATGTCGCAGATGGAAAATAAGTCAGTACTCAGTATTTAAGCAGAACTCAGATGACACCTTTAGACCTCTTGAACCCAAAGCGCGTTGCTATGTAGCATATTAACGCACTTTGGGGTCAATTTCTCGATTTTGACCCCAAAGTGCGCTGGACCCCAAAGTGCGGTGCGAAGTTTAACGCACTTTGGGGTCGGACCCCAAAGTGCGTTTGACCCCAAAGTGCGGTGTTACAGGGCAGTATTGTCCGCATTTGTTCACAGTTGACCTAATTAATCTTCTCGTTGAATTTACCCTCTACATCTAGATGCACCGTTAGAGTTGTCAACATTGCACTTGTATTTGCTATATAGGCCGAATTGAGCAATAAATATCATATAAATATGAGCTTTTAAATATCATATTTCATTTTAATAGATTTAACACTGAAGTTATGTAATAACAGAAAAAAAGTTTAACAAGCACGAAAATATTACCCAAGTTTCTTACACAAGTTCAACTAAAAATATCAGTTTTATATTTCCAAAATACAAAATTTAAACCTAGGTCAATCGTAAATTAGTGACAATCTCTGATATGCAATGAAAGCAGTCGGGTTATGAATGGTCGTTGCAAATATATAATTCGTTATTGCAGTTTTAAATTTTAATCTTTTTAGCAATGTCTGTATCAATAACGGTGTTGCTTTTGTTGGCATTATTCGATGAACGTTTGTGTCAAGATTCGAACTTTACATTGCCAGAGGGTAAGATTTTAATGCTCTTTTT